TGTACTGTTCATCTCCAGTGCCATCTTCTTTTTTTTTTCAAATTAAAAAAAATAATTAGCTGTAGATACACAAAGTACCTTTATTTATTTGTTTTTTAATGTGGTGCTGAGGATCGAATCCAGTGCCTCACAAGTGCAAGGCAAATGCTCCACCACTGAGCTACAACCCCGGTCCCCAGTGCCATCTTATATTCCAACCACAGCCTGCCTTTCATCTAAGGAAAGTGAATGCTCTTCTAACTCTAAGTCATCCTCACCATGTTTATGAACACATCTAGATTTCCCTTCCTTTGCATACTATCAGATAATGAAGAATATGCTGTGCTCTTTGATCTCTGTGTTTTGTCAATTGATGTGTCATGTTGCTAGTCAGATGGAACCTATAATAAAAATGAAAGAAATATAAACAATGTAGTCTGGTTCTATAGTTGGAGTCTGGTTCTCCATGTACCATCCTACCCCACAGGAAAGTTGGAAAACATGAGTGAACGAATGGTTGCTGTATTGTTTACAGTAATTTGTATAACACAAAGCCCCAAACTCACTGTCTCAAACACAATGAATTCTTTCTCAAGTGATCATCTGCAGCAGGAGTTCAGGGCAGGGTCTGAGAGGCTGTGCTTGCAGTATTTCAGAGATCCAAGCTAAATGCATCCCTGCCATCTCCAGCAAGAAGTTTTTAGAACACTCTGGTGGTTTTCACATCTTTTCCCAGCTCATAGGAGGAGTGAGTATCAAGAAATGTCCCTGGTGGGGGCATTTTGTTTGTCAGGCCTAGAAGCCACATATGTCATTTTCTCATATCTTGTTGGAGAGAAGTCCTGTCTAACCCCAGGTGTGGCTAGGTAGTATGTTGTTGCTGAGCACATGGCTGTCTATGACGGTGGAAGGAAAGTAGAATTAGAGTGAGTGGGGGGACAGCTGGCAAGCTCTTCCTGGGGCCTCCTTTATGATACCAGCCGTTCTTTTGAATATGAATTAGCTTTTCCAGTTCTAAGCAATAAAACATAAGATGTACAAAAGAGTAAGAAAAGGGATGCAGTGCTGCCATTGATCCTTTGTTAACAAGACTGCATCACTGTCCTTCTCTTAGAGCTCAAGGTTAGAGGAAGAACCTGTTTTGACTAACAGCCTCACTGCAGCCTTCAGTTTGACCTGTCTATGGAAAGGGGGCATTTTTGTGTGTGTGTGTGTGTGCGCGCGCATGCCCTCTACAAAGGCCTTGTCAGCATTTTACAATTTTAGAAGACAAATTTGTTTTTGCTCCAAGTGTTTTCAAGTGCTTCAGTCAGTCGTCAAACCGGTTTTGAGTCTAGCTCTCAATGCTAACACAGAGAGGAGGGAAAAAAAGAAATTTACAAATAAATTCCACAATCTAAAGCTAGCTGTATTTCAAAGCAGTTGCTTTTTTTTTTTTTTTTATTTGAAGGTTATATTTATAATTAAGGAGAGCAGTTTTTTAAAATTGAACTCCTTCTTACACCCCAAATTTATCCAATATATTATGTGCTAGTGAATCTGTGTTTTGAAAGTCACTGGTAGGACTTATATGAGTCAGAACGTTATGGATTATAAACTAGGCCTTATCTGGTTAAAAAATCTCAAGAAGCAAGTTCATTAAATTATGCTTAATGTCATAGTCTGTTCTTTACTATATTAAAAAGAGTTCCTATTACCTGTTAAAGGAGTCAAAATTTGGAAAAGTAATTAAAAGTTAATGCAATAAATCATTTTTATAAGAATTTTATGACTTTAACCTTTAATAAATGCATACATTAGTGATCTAGTCTTTTACTACACCTAGAGATGGGTTTGGGACATAAACCATTCAAAACCTTCAAAAGGCCTGATGTGAATATTTTTCCTAAGGTAAGTACTGTTAGCAGCTGCAGCGTACATGAAAGTCTAGTGACATACCTCCCAGCAGAGGTGATCTGAGTTTCAGCCTTATTTTGACCTGTATGTGACCATTTTCCCTTTCCTTCATCTCAGTGAAGTAAGGAATTACTGATCCTTTTCTTTACCTTCATCTTTCCTCCCTAAATCCTAGTCAAAGGGTGAAAATTAAAATTTACCAAACATTTTGTGATTACGAAAATAAGTAGTTTTGTTAATGTCCTCATAGATCCTTACTACGCTTGTCAAGTTTTGTTTGGCAAAAACAGGAGTATTTTGAACATTCTTCAGATGTCCCCCATTTCCAAAGGTATAGGTGCAACCCAGCAACCTTAGCAGAGGAACACTGTGTGCTGGCATGCTGGGTCCCTGAACCAGACTATGAATATTCAACAGTCTCCAATGTGTGGAAAAATAACATGACAACAGAAATTGTGGGAAAGCTTTAGAGAGAACTGCTGAACCGTACTGAAAGTCATCGTTTGTGAATGACTCCAGTAAAAACTCATATCCTAGAAGAGCTCTTTTTGTTTGTTTGGTTGGTTGGTTGTTTTGGTATCAGGGATTGAATCCAGGAGTCCTTAACCACTGATCTACATCCCCAGACTTTTTTTTTCCCCCTTAATTTAAAGGCAGGGCCTCACTAGGTTGCTTAGGGCCCTCACTAAATTGCTGAGGCTGGCTTTGAACTTGCCATCCTCCTGCCTCAGCCTCCCTAGCTGCTGGGATTACAGGCATGCACCACCACACCCAGCTTCTTGGAGAGCTCTTAAATATGGGCCCTAAGCAACTCAGCAAGACCCTGTCTCTAAGTGAAAAAAAAAATCCACAAAAGGGCTGTGGATGTGGCTCAGAGGTTAAGCACTCCTGAGTTCAATACCTGGTACCAAACAAACAAACAAAAAAAGTATGGAACAAACACTAAAAGAGGATAGGAGGGAATTGGAGTTAACACTTGTGATAACCACTTGTTGTAACCCTGGAAGTCAGTACTTTTGCAAAGCTTTCTTTTATGTAACATGACTTTTTTCTAGAGTTTTCAAAATCTATATCAATTACATATTTTTTTTTCTGTTTAGGAAGAGAAAATCAATCTTGTAACATCATCTAACTGAAATATCTATAAATATCTATAAACTATTTACGGTTTATTCTCTGATCTCTTTTCTGAATATTAGTTTTAATCTGAAAATGTTGATTTCTTCTGAAATACTCATTTACATATCACTTTAAATGTATCACTTCATCAACACTTTTGAAATAAGAAGAAGGAAGAGGACCATGCTTTCCCTAGGAATTTCTGTTTCATAGCCTCAGGAAAACCTAATACTGCCGCACTAGATCTTTCACTAAAGATTTTGATAATCTATTGAAGATTACCAATGAGAACAAAAGTTCTTTGTCATAGACACATCCCTCTTTATCAGTAAGGTCACATTCAGGTAATAAGAGCTATTTTGCTTTGATTTAATGGAAGCCCTTTTAGAGAGGGCTTTTCTAACTCCAACATTAAAGTTATAAATATAATCCAGTGTTGCCATATTTATTTTTTTATTTCTCAGATCCATTCTAAAATTATCTAACAATATAAATTATGGTGCTGAGTATTCTAATGGCAGACACAAACACTATCTTTCCAGTGTCTGGGACACTGTCTTAACTGTGGACAAATAGTGAAATATTTTCCGTGGAGGTTTCAGAGCTTTAGAAATAATGATAACAGCTAATACTCATTCAGTGTGCCAGGCATTATTCTAGTGCTTTCCATGTATTATTTTACTTAATCCTCCTGGCAGCCTCTTGTTAAGCAGTGTTGTCATCTCCATTTTCCAGATAAGGAAATTGAGGCTCAAGTAGAGTAAGACAGTTGACAGTTGATGGAGGTAGAATTCTGAGCCAGGCATTCCGACCCCAGAGCTCCTATCATAATTATTCTGTTATGCCATCTCCCTTCTGTTCTTTGATGGAGCCCAGGTGTCAAGCAGAATTCCAGACAAACTGGCCAAACCAACATAAACAGAAAATAATTTGCTCACCTACCACGCCAAAGATTAATTTTCTACTCTGATTATATGTTTATTTGATGGAGATTTTTATATATGCCAATTTCATGGGATCATTGTGAACCTTAACCAGATTTATTCTTAAAGGGCTTTTCATAATGGTAGGCTATTAATAAGTAGGTGAACACATGTTGCTTCCACGATTGCTCTTTATTTATCTGGATGTCACAAGATAAATGGGTTATGCCTAAATCCCTTTGATGCAGATGTGAATCTCTGAGTTCAATGAAATTCAGGTCCAAATTTCCAAGACAGCCATATTTTTTAATCTACTAAATTTGCAAATAAGCAAACAAGAGCACATTTAATCCTTCATGGCAATGACTTTTTCTGCATTCGGTCACCTGAATTATTTTTAGAAAGCATTGGCCTGTGTTCACAGAGGCAGTCAAAAAAAACTTTATAAATATGTCTCTGATTCTGATAAGCATAAACTCATTTGGTCAACCTGAAATATATGCTATTCAAAGTAAATTTTCTAGTTGTATTTTGTCAACCTTAGCTAATATAAAGAATAATATTAAATATTGTAGAAAGAAAAGTTCTTAACTCCATTTGTTGTTATGGATGTTTTACAATTTAGGAATAAGTTACATACTACCCCCAAATCATATCGGCAGTTTATCCTTTAAGAATGTTAAATAAGCAGTGAATTTACATCAATTTTTAATTAGATTTGAGATTATCTTTTTTGATTCTAGTCTTAACCATCCCAATTCTCTGACAATATGAGTTTTGCTGTTGAGTTTTTATAAAAGATCATAATACCTATAAAAGACATTATAGGGCACAGTGACCATTTCCATGATGCTGTCAGATACCTTTGTTAAAGAACAATAAAACATAATATTCAACTTTATACAAGCAGAATATAATAAAGTGTCCTAATTTTACTAGTTTTAATGAAGATAAAAATGTGAGAACTATAATTAGTTTATATCCACATATTATTTGATTTTTCTACTTTAAAAAAAGGACAGTCTGCTGTTGCATATTTCTTATGCTATGCCTGTTGGGCAACCAATAATTGTTCTGTTGCAGAACGTGGAAAGTCTCAGTTCCACACGGTCACATGAGAAGCCTGGACCTGATGATATTGAACTGATGTCCGATGAAAGGTAACTTCAGAATTTTCTCTTCACATTGTTTTCAGGGGCATGAAAAAAAAATCTTTTTTGTTTGTTTAATTCAATGTGTGTTATGAGAACTAAGAAGAATGGAATTAAAGGACTATGTTGACTGAGGATATTTCATAGCAAGGAAAATACTTAGAATAGAAAATCTACCATGGTGCTATTAAGAACAGATAATGTTTGTGCTTCTAGGGTTTTTTTCTGTATGTTTTGTTTTTGAATTTTAAAAAATTTGGTTTAGGGGCTGGGGTTGTGGCTCAGTGGTAGAGTGCTCACCTAGTGCGTGTGAGGCCCTGGGTTCGATCCTCAGCACCACATAAAAACAAATAAATAAAGGTATTGGGTCCAACACAACTAAAAAATAAATATTTTTTAAAAATTTTTGGTTTAGAGCTACTCAGCCCATTTTAAAATAAATGAAGTCATAATATGAATAGATGAAAGGCACTGTCGTAAAACAAATGGACATTTTGTGATATTTTGTTATTGCTGTTGTTTATAGCAAACAAAATGAAAGAGGGGACGGACACACAGAGCATTTTGAGGTGAGTCACTAACAAACGACTGTGAGGGGCTGTTTGTAAATGGCTGAGTGTGCATGTGAAACATTATAAACCTGTCAACAAGGGACAGTGAGGTAAGGACAGCACTCTGTTTGAATACAAAAAAGTGAATACCAGGGTTTAAAGATTCTTAAGAGAAATGTGCTTTTAAAGTGATTTTATCTGCTGTGAAGATAAATTTTAACAGCATGGGCACTTCTCTTTACATTTTCTATGAAATAAAACAAAATGAAAAATCAAAGGTACTGGTTTGATTTTTCTATGATTTGATGCATTTTTAAGTAATTAAAATACATAGAGTGGGTTTTAATGCATCTGTCACAGGGATTATCTCCTCAGTTATCAGTTTAATATAAATTCAGTTTGAATGACTTAATCTAAACCTTTTTTTGAGTTTTAAGTCTCAGTATAAGTAAACAATGGAGAAGCAAATCTCTAACTCCCTTACATCATCTGTATTAGAGTTTCATTTGCTTTGTGGGCTCCTGATAGTGTCTCAGCCATCACCTTGCTGACCCACATATTTAGTTTCTCTTGTTCCCAGCTCCAGCCTTCATTCAGTGTGCTGAGCCTCATTCTTAATTCATGTACATATTAATCTACTACTTCCAAATATTTCCTACTCCAGCTTCAATATTAGCAGGTTTGTTTGGGGCAAGAATTAAAGCCTTTCTCACCTTCTTCTTAAATTCTACCAGTTGATTTATTAATTATACAGAGAACTGTTGCTCTAAGCAAAAGATTCTTAATCTTTGTGGGGCACTGACCTAATTACTGATAGATTTATTAATCAACATATATTAAATTCTACTATGTACAGATCCTACTGTGTACAGTAGGAATTGGGATTTAATGACTGTTAACATTCCTTGCCCCATGGAGTTTTACAGTCTAGCAAATTGAAGATCTGAAAGCTCAGGTTGGGGGGTGTAGCTCAGTGTTAAGAGCGTTTGTCTAACATTTACAAGTCCCGGGGGTTTGATCCCCAGCACTGGCAAAAGAAAAGAAAAAAGAAAAAGAAACAAACAAAAAAGAATATGAAAGCTATGGATCCCTTCTTAGAAAATTGCACACTTACATAAAATTGGACATAAAATTGCTAGAGATTAATGAGTACCTCCCTGACATACATGTTAATGCTGTAAACTCCTTTTAGTTTCTCTATTCAATCCCTGTCTTGGACACTTCCTTATTACTCTAGCTGTTTTGGAAGGGGATGTTTCCTCTTACTGACTTCCCAGCTTCTGAGCCAGTTCTTTCATCTCTTATTTCCAACTCAGTTATGTTTCCTTCCTTGGGACCCACCCAATAAGCTGACATGCTTTCCTTATCTCCAGGTACCTTTTTAAAGAGCTTCTTTCCTCAGGATAGATTCCCCTGCCCCTGTTTTATCTTTTCCCTGACATCTTTCTCTGCTCACAGTTATAACCTACTCATCATGCCATTGAACATCATTTTTTAATAAGTTGCTTTCCAGCCTTCTGTAGAGGTCTTCTCAGTTCCTCCCTTTTATGTTTGTTAATTTTTATGAAATAAAGCGAATAGTGCACACCCTGATGAGTGAACTTCATAACACGAACTCATAGATTCCAAGTGGCACCCAAACTGCATTTGTGCTTGACTTGGTCTGCCACTGTCTTTCTGTGGACAGCTCCATGGCAGTGGATGAATCATAGGGAAAGAATCTCAAATCCTTCTTCCATGTGCCAGGTGCTATTCTTACATGTGTCACCCATGTGCAGCTGCCCATCAGTGCCCAGCTGACAGTTGGCACTCCTTAAGCAGTCACTATTAATAATCTTTGTCATCAGGACAGTTTCAGTTAGGAAATAAAATGAGGTGGTGAGTTAAAAATCTAGACTCACCTTCCCGTTAGCACTGCCAGAGGAGCAAAAAAAGACACATCACCCCAAAAGATTGGGATTATTTCCATCATGAAGGCGTGTATTTCTTTCACTGAAATATATTTTCTTATTATTCTTGAAAGACTGTGAGAAGAATTGTTTCCCATTTTTAAAGCTCTCCCCTTGTGTCAGTGTGTAGATGTAGCACTTCCTAAAATGTATTAGACCACCCAAAGAGTATCTGATTTTCTGGTAAAACAGCAGTAATCCCTCAATTTCAGAGATGAAAACTAGGTCTAGACTTTGATTCCCCTTCCTAGAATTCTGCTTAACCAGCATTCATTTTGCTTCAAGTCTCCTATGGCATCAGATTGAGATACCAGAATTTACATGCCCACTATGAATGGGTATGATGATTTTTCCAGTTCCATTTTCCCTTAAGATGAGTCTTGTTTTCATTAATATTGTCCTTTAAAAGTCTTCTTGTAAACTCTCAGATTCATCTAAGATGACAAGGTAAATGACAGCTATTGAGGGAAAGGGGGGTTTTGATTTCTTTCTCTTTTTTTTTTTAACCAATATTTAGAATGAGGACAGGCAGCCGACAGACCCATTGAGGGTCTGCTTCTCAAAGGCAGGCACAAGGGTGACGTGACTTTATTTTTTTAAAATAATCAATTTGCAGCCATCAAGTATATTTGAAGGCATATGTTGAAATTGAATGTACACTTAACCACTTATTACTTGTCTTTTTCATTTTTTTTTTTGTTTGTTTGTTTTTTTGTTTTTTTTTTTTATTGTTGGTTGTTCAAAACATTACATAGTTCTTGATATATCATATTTCACACTTTGATTCAAGTGGGTTGTGAACTCCCATTTTTACCCCGTATACAAATTGCAGAATCACATCAGTTACACATCCATTGATTTACATATTGCCATACTATTGTCTGTTGTATTCTGCTGCCTTTCCTATCCTCTACTATCCCCCTTCATTTCTTTTAATTATGTAGGTAATCTATCCCAAAAAAGATCTGATGAGATCTCAGATGGGTATATTGAGAGTCACCCATCTGTCTATATATATGACTAATTTTTCCAATATAAGGAACATACCTTTGGGGACTTTCCCCCTTCTAAAAAGAATTGTTAAGAACAGGGCTGGGGATGTATCTGGAAGTGTGTGTCTGGGAGTAGATGTAAGAACATATTAAGTAAACAAGGTAGGTATTGAACAGAGTTCCAGGAGAACTTTCTTAAAACATTTCTACTTCTTATGTGGTGATTTGGATTGAAATTTGTTTAGTGACACCCTGTAGTGAAAAAAATTTAGAATCTTTTCACAATGCCCCCAAATGAAAGTATGGCTTCTTCAGATAGGTTTTAGAAAGGCTGATGTTTAATCAAATGTCATATGGGCCATATGGAATGAGGTAACACAAGAAAGAGCTCAGCACACTGTTCTCTGGGCATGTGGAGTCTAGAGTATTTGTTCTTTTGTTTTTGAACCCCTTTCACAGCTTTAAGCATCAGGAGCCTTGTCTAGATTCTAGAAGATATCACTGAAAATACAGAGAGAGCTCTGCTTACAGTGGAAGCACACTTGACCTTGTGCTTCAATTTCTTCTGATGTTATTTTTTTATTGTGAAAGTATTATATGCTTCATATAAAATCCAGAATATTCACTAATAACCTTACAATGAGTCTCTTTGTCAAGGAAGCAAAACAAGTAAGAATGATTAGCGACATGGGAGGATATTACATTATCTGAGAGAGATCACTTTATGTCAGAATTATAAGGTCAACGAAGTGTTAAATTCCTTCAAGGTATTTTTACATTCTTTGTGCTTTCTAAGCCCACTGCTTAAGAGAGCTTAGAAGCATGCCCTTGATAACAAACGAGACATTCATCATAAACAAAAGACTATTTCCATTTTTCTTATCCTGCTTAAAAAAAGAAAAGGAGAAAGGGGAGAGAGAAAGGGAGAAATGGAGACTTTCCAGTTCAGCCAGAATTAAATTAGTCATCACAAGATCTCAAGTGTAAGCTTTTATTTGCCCTGAGAAGGCAGATTTCTGAAATATCCCCCATCCATAATCACCAAAGGCTATTGACACTTTGCAGTTCACATGAATTTTGGAAATTTGTTATGTCCATTTTCCTTTATTGTCAGGCCAAACAATAAATGTTTATGGTTCTCTGTGGTTCTTCAGTTAATAACTGTGGTTATTATTTTTTTCCTGTGCAAACTACATTGTCCAGCATGTTCTCAGTGTTGCCGATCCTGGCTCTGGTAAACTTTGAGGTCACTTATCACTGTCCTGTGCAGGGAGGGAGAAGGAATGGAACAATAAATCATGAACTATTTGAAGCCAGGGAAATGGCAAGATCAGTCAAGTCTGGGGATCGTAAAAGTCAGGCCCAACTAGAAAGGGACAAGTCTTGGCAAAGATTAGACTGTTAGACTCAAAGTTAATGTCTCCTTGACCTGAATGTGAAGTTCACCTGCGGCCCTAGGTAAGGGTGAGCACTGGGGGTTAGCTTTCCAGCATACCATGTTTTTCTTTTATGACGTGTGACACCAGCACTTGTACATTCAAACTCTCTTTCTCACAAAATCCTGTGACTTGTTCATTCCCAAATTCTGGTGGCTAGGACATAGTATGTATTCAGTAAGCACTTGCCAATGAATGAGTGAAAGGGGAAGGGAAGGGGAGTAGAAATGGAAATAGGTTTTCTTTTAGAGTTACTATGGACCCTCTGTCTTTACAGACTTTCCATTTAATCTTCACAACCACCTTATGAAAGGTTGTTCTCGTATTAAAGAAAAAGCTAACATTCAAAGAGGTTGTCTCACTGAAGGCCTCAAAGCTAGTCAAGCTTCACTAGCTAGTGTTTAAATCCAGGTCTCTGCCTCCAAAACCCAACCTTTTCTACCTATCGTATTGTCTCCTCTCAGAGTCAGACACTCAATTTATCTCCAGACACAGACATTTTGTGCATTTTCATATGGGATAGCGTGTTTGCCAAGGGTTTGGTGTGTGGCATCACAACCTAAGGATCTCTGAGTTGAAAATTGTGAAACGTTGTTTTTCCTCTGATTTAACTGAAGATATTAGACATGTAAACAAAAGGAAAAGTTTAGACCAAAAATATTTTTGGTATTTGAGACTTCCGTGGACATGTTGACCTTAATGATCCAGTTAGAGAAACAGATAAGCAAATAGTATTTGCGGTCCTTATGATAGGTGTTCTTAGTGCGGGCCCTCTGGCAAGGTGCCTCAGGGAGGCCACATTTTGAAGGGAGAGATGTTGATACTGGGACACTGTTGCAGAGCCTGCATAGCTTCTCCATGAGAGCCAGCCAGCGGGTAGCATCCCTGCCCCATGTGCACATGAAACCACCTGCTGCCTGCTGTGGCCTGGTGTCTAGGACACCATGTCTGGTTCAGTGACCAGGAGGGCCAGAAACTGAGACTTGGGCTTCTAAGAGCTTCAGGCAAGTGAAAGAGCAACCTTAGGGGCGGATCAGAGCCCAGCAGGACAGGGCAAGTTGTGTGTGTATTTCCACATAAGTGTAAAGCGCTCCTTTCTTCTGTATGACGCACGATCCACCACAGGCCTGCCCACCACACCTCTCTGCCTCTAAGCAAAATTGCTGCTGCTGATTCCTGGCAGAATACCAGTGGCTGTACTCACTGATATTTTTCGTGATGCATTTAGAATTTTGTTGCATCCTTTGATGTACCACATTTCCCCTCCAGTCCAGTTGGAGGTGCTTTCCCCACCCCCTCGCTAGAAGTTTTTATCTTTATATGGTGCCACATAATGACAGAAAGAAGGAGGGCTTCCATTTGTATATCTTGTGCTCCAGACCTTGCTTACTTCCTCTTAAATTTTTACAAGAATTTGCAAGATTACTATCATTAATGCCATTGGAAAGACTAGGAAATGGAGGCTCAGTGCAGGGCGCAACCCCACCCAAGCACCCAACTAATAGAACCTTGCCACAGTGGGGCGCCGTGGTGCACTGTAATTCCATTGACTCTGGGGGAGGGGGCGCTGACACAGGAGGATCGCAAGTTCAAGACCAGCCTCAGCAACTTAGCCAGACCCTGTTTCAAAATAAAAATGAAAAGGCTGGGGATGTGGCTCAGTGATTAGGTGCCCCTGGGTTCAGTCCCTAGTACCAAAAAACCAAAAAAAAAAACCTTGCTACAAATCCAGGTGTACCTGTGAGCAATACTCGTGTCCTTCCCATAGCTTGATAATTTAAATATATGATGTATTTCTTCCATGTGCAGAAAACACCATATTTAAAAATGAAATTGTGATTTTTGTCCTCTTCCCTTTTTTTGATATCTCTGAATGTAATAAACCTTATAAATCTTGGTTTGATATTTCTTTACTGAATGCATATTTTGTGTATGGGTGTGAGTGAGCGTGCACATGCACACACCCACACACACACACACACACACAGCTGGTGACTCTTTTTTTTTTTTTTTCTTTTTTTGGTACCAGGGATTGAACTCAGGGCCACTCGACCACTGAGCCACATCCCCAGCCCTATTTTATAATTTATTTAGAGACAGGGTCTCTCTGAGTTGCTTAGTGCCTCACAGTTGCTGAGGCTGGCTTTGAACTCTCAATTCTCCTGTCTCAGCCTCCCAAGCTGCTGGAATTACAGGCATGCACCACCGCGCCCAGCAGTGACTAACTCTTAACTTTTAAAAATCTGAGCACTGGATACAAGCATTGAACCCTGGTCCACTTAGGATTCAGCTCAAGAGACAAATAATTTTTGTGACATAAGCATTCTGTGTTTTGTTTTGTTCAATAGGCAAAGAGCATGTTAAGTAACAGCTCCAGATTTATTTTGCATTTCTATCTATTTTAGTAGCTCATCGTGACCTTGTTGATGATGTTTCATTTCATCCCAAAATGTGAAGAGAATACCCGTCCTTATGCATCATTTGATGGAAATATCATAGTAAAAGCGCTGACTATTCCCCTGATGATTTCAAAGTGGGTTGGATAGCTATTAAAAGTAGCTGCAAGTCTTAAATAGTGCTTTATTTTAAGCATAGGAACATTTCTCCTACATTAATGAATTCACTTATGACTTCCAGATGTTCTTAGTTTTTTCAACTAGTGATAGTGTATTTGCCAAAATAAATTTCCATTTACTCTCAAAGAAAATAGTTTATGCAGATCTGTGCTACTTGAAAAATACGTCTGTGAGTAAATACTACTCTTAACATATTTGTTTATAATTTTATGGGAGTAGGAATGGTGACAATGACTTGGTTTATATACTATGCCAGAAGAGCAAGATAGAAAGAGAATCTCAATGAAACAGAATTAGTTTCAGTGCTACTTTTTTTAAAAAACACAAAACCACTGATCTTGAATATCAACCTTTGCGGGAGGGTTTTCCCTTCCCTCAGATGGGTCCTTGTCTGGTGTAGGTGCTGCCAATGAGCAAAACCAACTGTAACCGAGTTTTTAGTATTCAAAGTAGATGAATAGCAGGAAAGCAAGTGACAGATCCATATTTGTAAGATATAAATTATGCATCACCGACTTACCAGCTCTTGGCATTTTACTTAAAAAAAAAAAAGTTATGCTCCCTGTGTAATTTTGGCTCATTTCCAAAGTTTGTATGCCTTCTTGCTAGCTAAGATGCCAACCCCCTATGCTGTTTGAATGGTGCAAAATGCTTTAATACCAAGCTCCTGCATACATAGTCTCTCCTCCCCATACTATGAGAAAACAGCCACAGGAAATCTGGGAATATGCAGCTAGCCCCACTTAATTGAGCTATGCCTGTGGGCGGCAGGGGAGTGTTCATGTCCCCAGCCTCTCTCCTGCCCTTGCAGGACTATTTACTAAGGGGCAAAGAAGTCTGTGTGCAGAAGGTACCGCGTGTTGCTACCCCCGCCTTAGCAACAGCGGTGGCTTGCTGTTGTTGTTTACAGTCTGGAGAGCCATGCTCCTTTAAGGAAACACAAACTCCTTTCCCTCATTCCTGGCCCCAATCAGCAATCATCCAGACTGTCAGCTGCCTGCAGTTATCAGGAGGAGCTGCCCGTGGAAAATCATCTTGTTTCTCTCACTAAGAAAAGTTAAAGGAGCAAGCGCAGATGGACAACTGCTTTTTGCATGAGAGTGGCCAGCTAGTATCCAGGGAGCATCAAGCTATGATTGTCATTTCCATGCTGCATGCATTAGCAGCTGTGGCTTGGGAGGTCTCATCCAGGAGTGGAATTACTGCAAACGTTTTTGGGTTTTGCTGAACGGTAGCTATTGGGGACATTGTGCTGTTTTTGCAGAGCACCACAATGAAGATCCAGGAGCATCCCAGCATACCTGATACCAAACAGCAGAGGAATCAAGATGCTGATGACCAGCCAGAGAGCTTTGTCTCAGAAGTGCCCCAGTTGGACCTGACGGCATTGTGTGATGAGAAGAGCTGGGAAGGTAGGTGATCACTGGCGCTTGGATGATTTAACATCACAAAAGCATATATAAATAAGCAAATGTAAGAGGCGGGTAACTGTGTGTGTGTGTGTGTGTGTGTGTGTGAGAGAGAGAGAGAGAGAGAGAGAGAGAGAGAGAGAGAGAGAACACAAGAGCTAGGCATGCAGAAAAGTAACAGCATTTCTAAGTGACTGAAAATCCTTTACCTGGTATAGGAACATATCCAGTTAAACATTGCCCCAGATAATTGCAGTCTAAGAAAGAAAATGTACTTGCCCTTTATCACAGAGTCACCTTGCAATCTTCTTTTAATTTTTTTTTTAACTCACCAGGAGTAGATATGTGTGACTTTTCCTCCCAGTAGTACCCAGTAATGTGCATTGTAGATCTCTGTGAGTATGCCCCATCTTCCCACAATACTTTCCAGCCAGCTACCACTATCATTAAATCTTCCTGGTTTTCAAGAAAGATCTTTTTTCTTTGCTTGCTTTTGTTTGTTTTTATGGGTCCACTTTTTTTTTTAATTCAGGTTAACAAACTTGGATTTGCTTATCAAAGAGAACACTAAATAAAAAGTGCTTCTTACTGAAACCCTGTAAGTGTTTTAGGTTGGCTTTTCTGGAGACTTTTGGTGAAAACAATAGAAATATACTTTGAGGAAGACAAGGGTAGCCTGGGAGGACACTGCAGCATTTTCCTCAAGCTGCTGCTGCTGCTTTCACAATCCCTGTGTCTTCATCTAAACATGTATCAGTGTGTGTACAAAATACATGCCAGTCCGCCTCTGTACTCTGTGTGGGAAGGAAGGATCTGGGAGGATCATGCTACTAGATTCAGCACAGAGGCATGACTTAGCAGAGAACCACAACTATGAAAATCAGTCCTTTTTAGCACCCAGATTTCCCCCTTTTCATTCCCTACCCCCTCCTCCTTTTTTAACCAAAAAGTTCTGCTTATTACCTGAGATGCAGGATCAAAGGGCGTTGGAAAAGACCACTGGTGAAAAGGAGGAGCCCAGTTATGCTCCTGGCAGCCAGGGCTGTATTGAGAACAGGCAGACTGTTTTTATTCTAATTCTCTTTCTTGTAATCTAAGAAACCTGTTCTAGTTCTTGCCATATAATTAGGTAGTCAATCTGAGATTTCTGTACTCTTTCCAACTCACAGTACACTCACTAAGGGGGAAAAGAAATGCATGGTTGTTTTGTTTTAAGTGATATATTTCTGCGTACTGGTTTTTGTTTCATTTTCCTGTACTTTGAAATAATCACGTTTTTAATTCGTGCATTGAAAACAACCTGCTCTTCCCTACCCCCAAGAGTCTCATAGTAGTCACTGTTGCCCAAATAAAAGAAAAAAAAGCAATAATAAAAATCAAGGCTGTTTGGGTTTTAGGGGTATGGTCTGACATAAAGCTCTAGATAAAAACTAGGATTTGAGGTCAGAAATCAAATTAGTCACCTTTCCCCCTACTCCTCCTCCTGAAATGGACTCAGTTTGATTATTGCTATCTTGAGAGATTATAAATCTCTGGCACACTTAAAGGGGCTAATGTAAAGCTAAAAATTCTCTCGAAGAGTGGTTGAAAGCCATTTATAGTTTTCTTAAAACTTTTCATAATGTAAAGAAATTTTCTGCTGGTAAATAATAATGTGAAGAAACCAATACTTTATGTTGGAACTTTTAGATACAATTTTTTGAAAGCCCATTGGAAAAAAATACATTCTATTCCAAATGGGCTTAGGAAAATGAATTGTGTTATCCATGTAATTTGTGAAATAGCTTTATATGACTTTTTCTTTCTTTTCTTTTTCTTTTTTTTTTTTTTTTTTTTTTTTTCTTTTTTTTTTATTTCATTTATTGTTGAACTTGCATATCTTTAAAAATCCACATGGAGGGCTGGGGATGTGGCTCAAGCAGTAGCGTGCTCTCCTGGCATGCGTGCGGCCTGGTTCCATCCTCAGCACCACATACAAACAAAGATGTTGTGTCCGCCGAAAACTACAAAATAAATATTAAAAAATTCTCTCTCTCTCTCTCTCTCTCTCTCTCTCTCTCTCTCTCTTTTTGAAAAAAATCCACATGGATTTATTTCAAGGCCATTTTTTTAAGTTGTAGGTGGACACACAATATCTTTATTTCATTTTTATGTGGTGCTGAGGATCTAACCCAGTGCTCACACATGCTAGGCAAGAGCTCTACCACTGAGCCACAACCCCAGCCCAAGGCCATTTTGATCATTTGGTTTCTACCCTCAATGAACTTTTTAAAATTGTATATTTATTCCAACTTTCCAAGTTGCATTATGATGGGGACATAACCATAAGTATAGTTAAAATATTGGAATTTCTGCATAAAGGTAGATAAAATGAGAACAACAGATTTCATTGTTGAAATATCACCTTTGTTACAGCTTCAATAAGAAACAAATGGTGGCTTTCCAGTAAGGATGGAATTTTGCATCAATTTAAGCTGTGCACGTGAAACCAATGCAAGAAAGTATATCAGTGAAAGTAATAATTACCCAAAACATATGAATCAATATCCATCTGTAAACTTCCATCCATGGCCTTCCTAAAGCCACCGTGTGGAGTAACCTCTCCTTTGGGTTTGCTTGCTTGTCCCCTATCCCCATGCCATAGTTGATACTCTGATTAATGTGGAAATGGTGACTCTCTGAGAGGCAGTACTTAGTGAGCAGCCTGCTGGGGTGAGCCCTGTGTTATGTGCTCCCAAGTGGAAATGATGCTCTCTGGTTTCTGAGGCTTAGTATCGTGGAAACGAAAAGAGGAATGAATCCCATAGGTAATGGAGAGTGCAACCCTTAAAAAGTGAACGTAGGATGGTCTAATCATACTTGTTGGCAGATAACCAAGCTTTTTATTTTTTCACTGTATGTAACTATGTTTGGGGGCACATTATTTGATCTCTCTACATTATTTGATCTCTGACCACATTATTATTATTAGGGCTTCTACAAAGTTAAATTAATATATAAATCAAATGTACTATTCTGTATTTTTGAAAGTCCTCAGAATTGCATAATTAGAATGTCCTCTGGCAGCAATTCTTGGGGGCAGTTGATTTGGGGTACCATTTGTTAAAGTACTGAGGTGAACTCAGCTATTTTATTGAATTTGTCCTGGCAAAATTAAGTTTATAAGGGTAATTTTTAAAGAACATAAAATACTTCATATATCTTACTAGTAATTTACTGCTTGGAGACAATAACTTTGGAAAAGGAAATTCTCTTAAAAAATCATGGAGAAACAAAGGATCTTAAAAGATTTCCCAAGGGTATGGGGTTAGAAATGATGGTGGAATGTGGTGGACATTACTATCTAAAGTTCATGAATAAAGACACGAATTGGTGTGAATATACTTTGTATCAACCAGAGATATGGAAAATTGTGTGTGATAAGAATTGTAATGCATTCTGCTGTCATATAAATTTCAAAAAAAAAAAAAAGATTTCCCAAGTGAACCCTCCCATCATACAGATAAGAAAACTGACCCCAAACAAAGTGAGGATTCAAAGTAATACAGTCTCCTGATGCCTCTTTCTAAGCATGCTAGTCAAGTGTCATGACGGGCAGAAAATCAGGTGGTGACAAGCCAGACTCCTGGGTTTAAATCTGGATTCTGCCATTTAACCAACTCTGTGGGCAAGTTAACAAACCTGTCTTCACTTTGCCTTAATTTCTAATTTTTAAATAGGTAACAACAGCAGATACTGATGAATAATAGAAACAGTAACATCTAATTAGTAAATTTGTCACAAAGATTATATGAGCTAAATATGCAAAGTGCTCAGCATGGTGTGGGTGCTATGTGAATGTTAATTATTACTATCTTCCATAAATATCTTTTAGGATATTTTGAGGGAAAAAAATTAGCCTAAGTTTGCTTTCTTTGAAAAAAGAGCCCAGTTCCACCCAATGACCATGGATGGCCCTGACCATAGAGTGATCTAGTAAGTATGAGACCCTCCATGGATTTGCTAAGGACTAACAATATCACTCCAATCTTCTGGAGTCTGGACTGGGAAATGCTAGATTTCTCCAGCTGGGCCTCTGACAGGGCCTTGGCCATAGCTTTGTTAAAGATGTGCAAGGAATAAAGACAGGTGGGGTAATGAATTAGTAACTGATTAAGCAACTGAATGTAATGTGCAGATACATGGATCAAAGTCAACTCCAATGGGGATATTCTCATTAAGTTAAGTCTTCAGCCCTCTCCTATTCCAAGCATTCAGTAATGATTTCAATGGAGCTAATGAAGAACAACTTACTATTTTTACAATGAGGCAAAGCAAATACATGAAATTTAAGGATTAAATATGTGATTGATAAAACCATCTGCTTAAATTTCATTCTAAATCTTGTAATTTGCAAGATTATTTGAATAATTTAACAGGACTATCATTATTCTAAAATTGAATTTTGAAACCACCAAGGAAAATTTTATGAAATTCTTCCCTCAGTAAAGAGCTTCCCCAGTAGGGCCTACATCTCTCTGTGTGGAATATGCAGGTTCCTTCTAACACAACTGAGAAAAAAAGCAAAGTTATGGCTCTAAATGACATAGTTGGAAATGAAATGTGGAAAACACTGGCTTCCCTAATTCTGTGAAGATTTCTTAGAAATAAATCATCTCAACAGCCTGTTTCTTTTGTATAGTAATGGACCCATCCAGCAAAGCAAAGAGTAGTTGTGACCCAGTGAACACATGAGCATCACACAGGGTGTCCATTCCCCCTGCCATGAATTTCCTTCATTTCCATGTGTACTATATATATCAATATTGGAACTCTCCAGGGACATATTCCTTATTACTTATATAGCAGGAATACAACTTTTGTCTCCATTATTTCTGACCTGCTTATCATGTCAGCTGACCTGGGTAGATTAATTTTTAATAGAGAAATATGTCATATTATGTCCAGAGTTCATTGTGAAAAAAAACACATGACTAAAAGCAAAATCACTATATCCAAGGAATTCTGGTCTTGATAGGAAAATGCTCTTATTTTAAGTAGTGCTTTGGGATGAAAATCCAATTAGAAGCCTCAAATATTTTCTGGTTTTCCTTTGAATAATTCCCTTGCAATATCCTTGTCTGTTTCATTGCTCTAGAGTTACTGGTTAAAAATAGAAAATATTTCACAAAATAGACATTGGGAATGGGCAGTGAATACATCCTCAAAACTGGTTTTCCAAACAGGTAATGCAATTGGACATTTTATGTACCACTTATTTATATCTTGCTTGTTTTTCCAATTAGTACCAATTATCAAAACATGAAATACCTTTGTTCTTATATCATTTTAAACTAAACTATAGAAATAGTTGGTTTTGTTAATTCTTTAGTTATAGTGAACTGTGTATTGTCATTTCACAACTTTCTTGAAATTATAAGACTGTATGGGATATCTGAAAAGGAAGAAAAAAAAACAGAAAACAGAAAAAAATTTCATGTTGTATAGGTGGGATTTTCACTTCTCTATATGCAGACTAATGATGAAATATTTCTATTTTTTTAAAGTCAAAATTCACAATGCTTAGTGAATTCATTTGCCCCAATGTGCTTTAAACACAGTGGGCTGGAATTTCTTCAACTGTGTATTTCCTATATACCAGTGGTGACAATAGGAAAAAGACACATTTGTTCTTTCTGTCACTGAAGTGATTAGTTGAGAATAGAGCGACAAAATAAAGCTGCGTTAACAGACAAGAAGGGGTAGATGGCCCTGTGTTAGCCACCAAACATCAATCATGATTTGATTCTATGAGTACTACTTCATAGCGAATTCAAGATCACAATTTATACTTTATTAGAGACATGTTTGGTTAATGGGCACACTTTTTGCAAAATGATTTGTAGCCAGGGACCACATTGTTAAAAACTTAAAAATTGGTGGTAATATTTTAAAAGAGAAATTCTGCTAGAGTCAAAGAAATCAGAGGGCTTTAGGATCTAAGTAATGCCTTTCAAACTGGTCTTTTTGTTTTGTTTTGTTTTTTTGTTTTTTTGATGAGTAGAAATAAACTAATAGCATAGCCATATGCCAATATCAACATTAGACTGTTTTGCCAAAGCCAAAAGGCTTCTTGCCCTTCCCCCAGTTGTTTTGCTCCTTTGCCACTCTGTGGTGAGGTTAGGTTATTGCTGGTTGCACTGCTATTAAAGCCATCTTAACCCTTTCTCTTCCTGGCTCTGTTGATTTTAGAACTTAAAATTTCTGCTGTCTTATTTAATAGAATATGTAATCTGGTCAGTTTAACAGCTTAATTTTCTGCAACTTCACATGAAATTTTTATTTTCCTACAGATTATTTTCCAATACTGCACCTCCAGACGGTTTGGTGTTTTTTTTGTTTTTTTCATCCCTTTATGGTGGCAGATCTAAGCGAGCTGCTCATATCTGAGCCCTGCTACTCAGCAGGAGCAGCCTGACAGAGTTTTGTACAAATGATAGCCTCCTCCCATTGTCTCAGCCTCAGCCAAGTGCATCCACAAACATTCTTCATTTTTTAAGTCTCAGTGGGTAAGAATCACTGTCTTCAACGCTGCTTTCATCTTTTGAAATATTTATGTTTGCAGATAACTTGGGTCCCTTTAAATTTGGAGAACCTGTAGCCCTCATTTCATATGAGGTTTGCTTTTTGTTCTTAACTTGTGCTTCTTCTTTTTCCTTATTACATTGTCAACTCTTCAAACATTTCAGGCAGTCAGCTCTGTAATTGAGGCACTGGAGCATGAAGACACTGATCTAGAAGTCAGGAGACTTAGTTTCTGGGCCTAACTCTTGTTGTTGATTAGGTTTTTGCTCTAAATTCCTTTGGTTTTTGGATTCTGTATCTGTAATCTGCGTTGGATCAGGGGTTCTCAACTCTGGCCCACATTAACATCTCTCAGACAGCTTTTACATGTGTATAAGGCTGTCTGTCAGTCATTCAGTTGTATTTGGTTAGGCATTGTGTCCATCCGTCTATTATATGGGTTGGGTGGTATGAGGACTCACGTGTGCGTGGTTACTTAAGTTTTGCCATGTGACTCTAATGTGCAGCAGGGATGAGAAGATCACAAGATTGGATTATGAATGAATTTACACCAGCTCTAATGTTCTAGATAAAAAGCTGAATATGCACTTCAGACAATTTTATACATGTACCGTTTCATGGCTGAAGGAGCTACTAACTGTTCATGACTCAAACTCTAGGTATCCTGATTTTAAGATCCTGGGCGAATTCCAGCTTTAGGTGAATCACTAATCCACAAGTGAATTTAAGCCATAACTGTCTTTTTTTAATGCAGAGTATTACAAATGAAATACTCCATATCACCTAAAACCTATTTTAAATTATTTTAGATATGATTTTTTAATAAAGAAAAGAATATATTGAGATGGATCTTACAGTAAATGAAACTAAATAACCTCCCTCACCTCCTCCAAACTCGATTTTGTGCTGAGTATGTTTTTTTTTTCTTACAGATTGTCTAAAAATAACTTGTTCTCTATGAGGCATTCTTTTTTCTTCTTTTGACTAATTTACTTATGCTTCTCCCTCTCCCTAGTCTTGAGCAGCTCCTAAGTTCCAACTGCAAAGCACACAGCACAAACATGCTAATCCCACACACTAAGCAGAAGCACACAAAACAGTTTGCCAAATGACCTAAATGGAAGCTGTCAACCCCTCCATAAGTAGGCTCTTACAGACTCATGAAGGACGGAACCTGTGGTGCCAGATGCCTCCCTTCCTGACACACTTGCTTGTTTTCAGTAATGCTCTCCCACAGAAAAGTGGTCATGGCTGCCCTGCTAGTGAAGCTGGGGACCACCCATCGGCTCTGCTCCTTCAAAGCTGTTCCTCAAGGTTGCCCTAGCAAACTCTTTTTATGAAGGCAAGTGAGAGTGGAGATAAAATGCAGATGATGGCTGTCAAATACAGTGGTGATTTGGGTTGGACATAGTGTCCTACTCTGGACCTTGGATCTAAAATGAGAACCCATTCAGTGGTCAGCTTCCTAAAATCTTCAGGAAACTTGGGAAATAACCATGCTTTTAAGAAAGCTGTTAACCTCTCACCATTTTTTTTTTTCAGAACCCATCCCTACTTTCTCATCCTGGCAGCGAGAGAACGTGGACTCTGACGAAGCTCGCCTCTCCCCACAGGCGGGGCGCCTGATTCGCCAGCTTCTGGATGAGGACAGTGACCCCATGCTCTCTCCTCGGTTTTATGCTTATGGGCAGAGTCGCCAATACCTGGATGACACAGAAGTGCCTCCTTCTCCCCCGAATTCCCATTCTTTCATGAGGTAGGTGATTCTCTGTTGCTGATGAGCAGATGTATTATCCCCACAATATTAAAAAAGATAAGCATGGTGCTGATGGCTGACGAGTTTCTTAAAATTAAGCAGTGAGCCAGGCATGGTGGTATGCACCTGTAATTCCAGCCAACTCGAGAGGCTGGGGACCACAAATTTGGGGCCAGCCTCAGCAACTTAGACCCTTAGCAACTTAGTGAGACCTTTCTCAAAAGCAAAAATTTAAAAATGGCTGCGGGGGTGGCTCAGTAGATTAGCATCCCTGGGTTCAACATCCTGTACCCCCCCCCAAAAAAAATTAACATGTAAGTCTATGGAAGAGCAAATCTGAAGTTCTCCACCCTAGTCCGCAGGCTATCTAGTAGTTTCCCAGTTGAACTGTAACCCAACTGTAGCATCACACATTGAATTTCCATTAGCACTTCATTTTCAAAGCACTCTCAGATTTAACTTTCAGGCCTGTAGAAAACATTTCATTCTAACTTTGCTAATCATAAATGTAAGAGAAAGACCCCCATGATAAGTGAGACATGCAGAGCTCAGTCACAAAATGAATCAGTTAATTTCCTTTCAGTCAAGAGCAGGGGGGTTGTTTTGATTCTTCTCCTCTGTGCCACATGGCACCCCACATTCAAGGCCCCTCCCAATAGTCGGTGACTGCTCAGGCAGTTGATCCAAGTCTTGCCTCTTGTAGGCGGCGAAGCTCTTCTCTGGGTTCCTATGATGATGAGCAAGAGGACCTGACACCCGCCCAGCTCACACGAAGGATTCAGAGTCTGAAAAAGAAGATCCGAAAGTTTGAGGACAGATTTGAAGAAGAGAGGAAGTACAGAGTGAGTGTCCCACAGGCTCCTCTGCCCCTGCTTCTCCCCAGGAAGTGAGAGTTAATTCCTAGGGAATCTCAAAAGGACAATAAACACTGAGTAGTGAATCCTGTTAAGCTCTGCTCACCAGGTGTCACCATTTTTATTGCACAAGCATAAGTCTACTTGTAAATTTGTCAGTGATCCAGAATGGGGGAAAGTATTGAATGAAATCTTCTGTTTGGCTAAAATTGAATTCAAGATTATTTTCCAAAATTTCATTAATACTGAGCTCATTGTTCTCCGCACTATCCTTAGCGCTTCCTATAAGAGTGGAACAAATGGTGGCTACAGTGTGACCATCAGACTCCTCTGTTTTCTGCTCCTTACAAGTTGAGCCCTACAAATGACAGAAAAGGGGTCAAAACACCACACGAGTGCCTGATTATAATGATCCAGCTTTTTAACCCCTGGGGAATTGAAAGCATCAAAATTAACCAGCTAGGTGGAGGATGGAATTGCATTTGTGAATTTGCTCTGATGAATTGTGGTTGATTTCTTATTCTATGACACCCAACTTTGCCTTCCTAGTTTAAAAGAAAAATCATCAAATTTGGCAGCTTTTCCCTGCCCTATTCTGAATCATTGACTCTAGACTTCCTTTTTTTCAGCCTTCCCACAGTGACAAAGCAGCCAATCCAGAGGTTCTGAAGTGGACAAATGACCTTGCCAAATTCCGGAAGCAACTTAAGGGTAGGTGAAGTTCTGGACCTGTAGTATAGCTTCCATACAAGAAGCTGGGACCAAATCCATCAGCTCAGCTCCTATGGGTGCCACTGCCAAGGTATTCCCAGGTCCCAAAGACACTCTCCGGTCACTCTTCGGGGTCATTTCCATGTCCTCCCATGACTTCAATCACAGGGCAACCAGACCAGCTAAGACATAAATTCTGTAGCATTTCTGCATTTCCCCAGATCACTAGTAGAAGGACGATGGTTTCAGGTCAATACTTCTTAAACACCTGTTTAATATGAGACTTCATCTGCTGTGGTGTTGGGAGAAGCGAGGTAGACACAGAGATGAATCTAAAAAGGGTTTGGCCCCTTTCCCTTCAAAAGCTTGCTGTCATTTAGGAGATAGTCATATAAACAACTACAGTGCAAAGTGAAATGATTTCAAAATGAGGTATCCAAGTCAAGTGGCCAGCTAGTGGGTGTTAGAGCCCTTCATCTCTTTAGGTGCTAAGGGAACAGGTCTGGGAAAACATCTGCCCCAGTCTGAGAACAGCTAATAGGCTGGTGTAGCTAAAGCTTGGGTGTTACAGAGCTAAAGCTTTCTCAGGAATTAGGGTTTGGGAAATATTCCAGATAATCCAGGAAGACATTATCATTATTTTGGGTTTTACATAATAACTCAGGGATTTTCAGTGATATTATAATTAGATACTCCCTGAAGGAAAAAAAAAAAGCCATGGCTAAGCAGTTAGTGACATCACAGAAAAACAATTTGGATTCAGCAGGGCTCAGTTCTCATCTCTGTCTCTTCCCCAAATCTTCTCACTCAGAATCAAAACTAAAGATATCTGAAGAGGACCTAACGCCCAGGGTGAGGCAGCGAAGCAACACACTTCCCAAGAGCTTTGGTTCCCAGCTTGAAAAAGATGACGAGAAGAAGCAGGAGCTGGTAGATAAAGCCATCAAGCCCAGCGTTGAAGCCACCCTGGAGTCCATCCAGAGGAAGCTCCAGGAGAAGAGGGCAGAAACCAGTCGTCCTGAGGACATTAAGGTGTGGAGGTCCCCAGCCAACTGCTGATGCCATTGCCACCAGCTTGGTAGAGACACAGGGTGTCACATGAATCCCTGTGGAAGGCCATGGTCTGTAAACAGTCCACATGTCTAGAAAGCAGATGAAACAACTGCGTGCTTCACCTGTGGGCACTTTGGTTTTTGACCACAGGTTGAAAGCAGACAGCTCTGTTACATGTATTGCAGAATGACTGACCCTATTGAAGTTAATAGTTTATAATTATCTGAGGTGGAAAGATTTTAGACTAAACCTTCAGGACTGTGTAACCTGCTATAGTCATTGCATGGGCCATTCAGTTATGCCCCGTGTGCCTCACATTCCTGCTGTCCTCAGTGCTCCACTTGCCTTTGCTGCCACATGGGAGCCCCAGGTAGTTAATGATGGTTCTGTTGTGTTGTCTGTGTTGCTGGCTAGAGGTCAGGATTAGCTCATTCCTAAGTGAGCTTTGGACAGAGCCAGGGAGAACTGTTGGACGAGGATTATTTTTAACCCTCCTTTAGGAGGTTTGTTTAAATAAAGAAGTTGGAATGTTCACAGGTGTTTTCCCCTTTTCATTTCTTATCCCTGTGTTTATTCAGGATATGACCAAAGAGCAGATTGCTAATGAGAAAGTGGCTCTGCAGAAGGCGCTCCTCTATTATGAAAGCATTCACGGAAGGCCGGTATGTGATACACTGCATTTTCTGATTGGGGTCAATTTTCTGACTTTGGGACCATATTTTCTATGTTCAGTAAATGGAGTTCCCTATTGTTTGCTCTCTTCACTTGTAAAGGAGGTTTACTACACATTTACACCATATCACAACTTTTTGAAGGCTCAGTCAGTTAAGAGAACTCTGTTATCTAGTCGATGCTGAACTTAAATTCCAAGGAAAGTTAGCATGTAGCAAAAATGAAGTCACTGGTGTCCCTATTTGAGGAGGGAAAAGATGGAGCAGAGGGATGCAGGGGCAGAGGTAGTACAGAGGAGGCACATAGCCCAGGTGTGAGGAGACGTCCCTGTCCCAGGTCTGTCCCCATAAGCTGCCATTTTCTCTAAGCTTGCTCATCCAACTGCAGTGCAGTTGCAACCAGTGCCTGTTTTTGAGGACTTTCAGCTGTGTTCACAACCAAAATGTGAGGCATCCAAAATATGGCTTTGTGTTTTCATAACAACAGGAAGCATTTGAGGTGGTTTTGTTTGTCAGCAAGTGTTTGTTGAATGTTTGTTGCTAGCTGTGGGGGGACAGCAGCATGATAGGCTTCTGCCGTCTTCCTTGAGGAACATATAATCAGACATTGTTTTTGTCGGTTACTCTTAGCAACATTCTTTCTGTTCACAGTGTTATTTAAAACTGGACAAAACAAATTCTTAAAAGCAGGTATAAGGAATTATGAAACTTAGGTTCAAAGATGGATTTTTATATAACCAAAAAGCATAGTTTCAGTCACAACTAGATAATGGATAGAGTTGTTTCATCTAAAATATATTCTTAAGTCTTTTAAATAAAGAAGCTTCCAGGGCTGGGGATGTAGCTCAGTGGTAGAGTATTTGCCTCACATGCCCATGGCCCTGGGTTTAATCCAAAATAAAAAATAAAAGTGCTTCCAGAATGATTTCCTAAACTTCCCCCCAACCCCAGTTCTTGGAATTGAACCCAGGCTTTTGCACAAGGTAAACAAATGCTCTACCACTGAGCTACACCCCTAGCTACTAGTCTCCACACGGGTGAGGGCAGGGATTCTAGGCCTTGTTCACCTAGTGATGAACCTAATCTTAGCAGCTAACGTGAGACCTGACACACAGCATGAGCCCAGTGACTAGCTGCAGAATACATTTTCCACTGCATTTTGGTTTTGAGTATATCAGTTTAAATTAAAAAAAAAAATTGCTGGCGCTGATGATGATTGATTTTGCTGGCCTGTCCCTGCAGTGGAAAAATACCAGTACCCTGCTTCAGCCAAGTTTTTTTTTCCCCCAAGTTTTGTAAAGGCATTGAACCAAACAGTAAGTGCTCTGGAGCTCAAATATATTGTGCAACTTTCTTCTTTTCAAGTGGAGTATTTAGAATTTGTATAGGTAGAACTGAACACTTCTATGGACAGAGAAGAACCCCTTTTCCACCATGACCTTAGACCGTAAGTGTAGATCTCCTTGTGGCCAACAGGCAGGCTTTGGTGATGCTGTGTGTTTTCTTCCTTTAATGTTTTTTCTTTTCCTTGTGTGGATCCCAGTTATGACATTGCGAGGCTTCTTCAAGGGCTTCCTTGCCTGAGGCTCCCAAGAGCTCACAGCTGCCTTCTGGACTGTCTTAACTTTGCTGCCAGTTCACTGGTTTGTGTGCTGCTGTATTTGTTGCTCAGAGCTGGGCAGATTCATTCCACCTGGATGAAGGCCTCACCCAGTCACTGTGAATCTTAGAGTCACAGATCTGGATTCGGAACCACCCCGACTGAGATTAACTCTGTGACATTAGGCGACTTGGGTAACCTCTTTGGCCCACAGTGCTGTGTTTATAGAGTAGATGTCTGTTATGGGTTGTCATGGAAATTAAATGAATTACAGAGAGACACACAGACAGACATGTATACATATATTTATGGGTAAGATGTTTGGCACTGAGGAAGTGGGACAGGGTGACTTTGGGGGTTGCAGAGTAAATGATAGTTTTTACTTCTGTCACAATTATATGTTCTACTCTGCGGCCAACTTCTGATTAAATGATTAAATCAGGAAAAAGAATGCACCTTTTTTACTCTCTTATCAGTTCTTGGTCCTCCTAATTCATTTCTCTTTCATCATTCTTTCTGATGGGTCCTCGCATCTCGTAGGACGGGGAACGAATGCTCTAGGAAACTTGAGTGTTGTGTTTTTTTTTTTTTTTTTTTTTTTCTGGTCCCTGGCCAGACTCCGCCTCTCTCTGGAAAGCGATACACCAACCTTCTCAGGAAAAGCAGAGTTCATTTGATATCTGGCCAGTCTGAAAATCAAATACTGAACTTTTCTTAGATCCATGGTGTTGCCATGAACCCTGATCTGTAAATATCATTTGGACAGGATACTTAGACAAAAAAATAAAGATGCTTCCAGAACTGAACTGTCATTCCAAGTCCCAGTTTTTGAGAAGCCAGGTGCTCAGAACTCACGGGTTTTTGCTGAGGCCACAGATTCTGGTTTTAAAAGACTCTATCAGGATCACAGGTCAAAACAGCTGCTGTTTACAATTTACATTTACAATTTACCATTCACCTTTATGGTTCTGTCCAGGTAATTGCAACCAAAGTGACGTAGGGCAGTTTTGTTTGCTTTAACAGAGCATGCTATAGATGGAAAACAAGAATTCACACATGGGCACGTCAGAAGTGTGTCCTTTTCAGCATTTAAGGATCTCATCAAAAGACCACAGCACAGAAAAGTAGAGCAAATAACTGCAGCTCATTGTGGTGCCTTTAGTGTACAACAGGCTTTGGTCATAAAAGTTTGAGGGAGAGAATAAGTTGTTTGATCAGAGCTCATGGGTTCTTCTTTGCTCACTGGCATCTTTTAACCTGGGTTTCAAAACTGGGGCCTAGTGCAGCAGAAACATAGCCAGGTACACATTTATGCCAATCATAGAGTCATATATAAATGCCACCCTTTGGTTAGCTGCTGTTTAGGATTTTCTGAATCTTTGCATAGCCAGCCTACTATTATTACCTTAAAATGAAGAAATGAAAGTTGGCATTTTCCAAATTAGTAATTCAAGAAGGCAACAGTTATAAGAGTCTATCTCATTTTGTCTTCCAGCAGTTTTGTGATGCATAGGTACACCCCCCAACACACACACACAGACACACACACACACACTCAAACTACTTTGTTTTATTGAGATTTTGAAGCAGTGTAATTTTTATATATCTATAGTATATTTTCTCACAAATAGTGTTTTTATGCCACTGTTCAGAAATCTTTGTTAACTCAACATAGGCAGAGCTCTCAGCTTGGAAGGCAGACTTCAAGGACAGCCAAGTCAAATCCTGTCAAGTCAAATACCTTAAAATGAAGAAATGAACATCAACACAGTGTGTCAAGATCCTGCTCCACTTATTTGTGAAGGGAAAGAAACTTAAACTGGGAGTCAGTAGACTTGGGTTTTGACCCAGCTCTATTGCCTCAGGCAAATCATTACCCTATCATTACCTATTAACTTTATCATGTGAACATATAACACTTTTCTAACTCTAAGATTGCATTATTCCAGTTTTGTCTTATCTTCAAAATATGTGATTCATTTTACCATTCACCTTTATGGTTCTGTCCAGGTAATTGCAACCAAAGTGTGATGTAGGGCAGTTTTGTTTGAGGCTAAAACAAAACCATCCCAAAAGATAAAGGCAGGCAAACACAGTTATCTAATGGGGTCCTTATGATTTCCAATCAAGACTCTATACTCATTAAATGTGGACAATTATTGGCTAATGTTCCCATTGTGTTTTGAAATATTATCTGAAACTTATTGAGTAACAAATAGGGTAGTAAGTGAGCACTAGAAAAAATTTTAAATCATAAGCAAAGACAGTGGGAAGTGCAGCCTTTGCCCTTTAGATCTTCATATCTAGATAGTTATGTTTTGATTTGTGTGTAAAAATACATCTTAATAATAATCCTATTTCCACACATTGGAAAATCATTCAGCATTATCATTTAAATGAAAACTAAAGTTTTAAAAGAGGAATGAGTGGATTTTGAAGAGATAGTACACAACATATTGGGCCTAAAGTCATTTTCAAACAATTATGGGTGGTCAAGATTTTCTAATCTGAATTCTGCTGTTTACCAGTTAGGAAAGTGAGGCTCAGAGAATTTCAGTGGCCATCTTTGCTGGTCTGTGCTTAAGAGCAGAATTGATGGGTTGCAGGTTCAGCCTTGACACAAAACTACCACATAGTTCTCCAAAGTACTCCACCCCCACCAGCGGGGAAGGAGACTTCCGGTTGTCCAGTCCTCTGGCCAACACTGGACACTATTGGTCTTTCTGTGCTAGCCCTTGTGATGGGTGTGTAGTAGTAACACCTGTGGTTTGATTCTCAGTCTTTTTCATAAAAAAATAATGAGTTCCCTTCCAATCTCCCTTTACTATTGTGATCATGGAAGCAACAGAAGTGAGGTGGTGGTTGTTATTTCACTAATGATGCGAAATCCACAAAATGTTTTGCATGATGGTAGTCTCTTCTTCTAGCTTGTGGTGTTTATCCAAAATGCACTTACTGTTGATCACTTTGAGACTGGCAAAGACAAACAGCCACAAAGGATAATCCGTTATGAATGATCCAGCATTGTTGTTGAAGTTGAAAGTTCAAAAGACCCCTAAGAGAAAGGTCAAAGCTAGATACTACTGGCTCTTTCCTATGTCTGCAACTCTTGCCTTATCAGGTGTAGAGTGGTTAAAAAAAAATGCAGAAGACAAACAGCTGACTTGAAAACAAAGAGATTTCATCTCATTCCTCATTGAAGTAACCAAAAGAAAATGTATGCTTACCTGTGAATTGGTCATACCTACTTAGGTTGGCGACAATCATCCACTTATTTTGTAAATATTTATGAAACATTTCCATTATGTCAGGCTTTGAAATAGTGACTAGGGATACAAAAACAAAGTCCTGCTCTCAAGGGGCTACAGTTTAAATAAGGAGACAGATGTGTAAATAGTTACTATAGAGTATAAAAGTTTATAAAATTGCAAGGCATACACAGAGTGGGGTGGTGACATGAAGGAGAGGATTAGTCTCCCCAAGTAGGGGGATGTTAGAAGACACTTGCATGCTGGGAGGTGGCTCGTGATATGGAATTTGTCAAAGGAGCAGAGAGGAAGCCATTTCAGGGGAGAAGGACTTTGACAAGGAGGTTTGTGATGGCCTAGTTTATTTCCGGAGCTTTAGGTATGATGGGGGCAGAGAGAAGCAGCAGGCCATGAGCAACTTCAAATGCTATGCCAGGGAGTTGGGCTTGATTGTTCCCTACTGCCTAGAGAATTCATCCTTTAAACATTTTGAGCCCTGTGCCAGATTTTAGGGAAACAAGGATGAGTGAGTCATCCATGTGCTCTTTCAGCAAATGTTTCTTGAATACCTGCTGTTTGCCAGAATCTTGTTTTTAAAAACACAATGATTTCATGGAGCATAAAGGCATGTAAATAACTTGGGGACCGCATGATATGCGTTATAATAGAAACACAAGCTTTCTTCTTCCATGGACCCAGGAACTAGCAAGTCCTCTGGGAATTTTGAACCTTTGAGTAGTTTTAAGCAGGAACTTAAAAATGACCATTGTTTGTTGCTTCGTACAAATATTTATATTTTTTTCTTTTAAAAAAAATTTTCCATACTTTTTATTGGTGCATTGTGGTTGTACATAATGGTGGGATTTGTTGTTACATATTGGTACCTGCACACAATATCATGACATAATTTGGCCAATATCACTCCGCAGCACTTCCCCCACCCACCTTGTAGTCCTTTTTCTTTATTCTTTGATTTTCATGAGACTACCTGCAGTGCACGCATACACACACACACACACACGCACACACGCACACACGCACACACACTCTCCTATACTTTTCTTTCCTCTTTCCTCTCTAGCTTCCACATATGAGAGAATACATGATCCTTGAGCATCTGAGTTTGGCTTATTTTACTTAACATAATGGTTTCTAGTTCCATTAATTTTCCTGCAAATGACGTAATTTCATTTTTCTTTATGGCTGAGTAAAACTCCATTGTTCATATATATCACATTTTCTTTATCCATTTATTCACTGAGACAGACACCTAGGCTAGTTCCATAGTTTGGCAGTTGTGAATTGTTATGAACATGCATATGTCATAGCAATTGTATGCATGTGTCACTATAGCATGATGACTTTAGTTCTTTAGGGTAATTACCAAGGACTGGGATAGCTGGGAAGAATGGCCATAGTTCTGATTTATGAAAAGCAATACTACCAATAGAATGATTTTCACTGATCTGCCACTGAAGTATGTATTTTAAATATTTGTTGAATAAGTAATAGTTTAAAAGACTCGAGTTGTAACACCTGTATTTTCTGTAGGACACAAGGGCCCACCAGGGCTGTTCTCTTGGACAGCTGGTAGCATGAGTCCTGGAAACTGGCTTCTTAATAATCTTGTCCTTGCTTTTCAGGTGACAAAGAATGAACGTCAGGTTATGAAGCCACTATACGACAGGTACCGGCTAGTGAAACAGATCCTGTCCCGGGTCAACACTGTACCCATCATTGTGAGTGCAATACCTGCCTATTATTGATACACTCCCTTTCTGATTGAAAGAACCCTGGGTATATTAATAGGGCTCTAACCTGCTTTCTCATGAAAGGCTTGAACCAGTTATTAATATCCATGGCCCACAAGCTTGAGGAATGAAGACTTTATCAGACTTCTGAGGCTACTTTTGCCTACAGTGAGCACATCTGAAGCTTATAGAATCTGCCCCACACACACACTTTGGGGAGACACACTTTGGCCATATATATCTATCTAACATATGCTGAGCCACCTCCCTGACCCTTTCCTCAAAGACAGGGGACAGGGGCTATACCTTCTCTAGGCTCTTCACTCGAAACAGTACCTCTCTAGTCCCAGGGGCTTGCCCACAGTCTTTCCCCATCCCACAGAGGGACAGCTCCCTTGAGAGTTCAATCCAGGGAGGATCCTCTAAGGAACTCTAGGAAGAGTCTCCTGCTCTTGGGTGCTGTGGAGAAGTAGAGGGAGTGTAAGAAAAGGGAGTCAAGCTAATGGTTCTGAAGTAGCCCTCTATGTCCACCATCCTTGGGCTCGCTGTTCTTGGCTCCTGGATTGTTATCTTGTCAGGTTAGGGAGCAGCAAGGCCATCCAGCACCAGCCAGCCTGCTCCCATCCATTAGCCCAGCCACAGGGCATCCACCCCTGGTCACTAAAGTGCGATGTTAGTGCCCTCTCCACCTCTGGGGGGCGGGGACATTACCTGATTGGTTGCCCTTATGCCCTGTGCTGACTTTTCTTTATGGGCACTCACCTCCTCACTTTGAAGTCACTGCAGAGATCCATATTCATTTCAGCTGCTGATCTCGTCTCTTCCTTCCTTAAATCCCCTGGTTTTTCCTAGGCCTACAATATGCTTTTATATTTCTTTTAACGTGATTTTTTTTTATGACTAAGGGAGGATACAGGCAGCTGTATTTGAAGACAGCTACTCTTCTAGAAATTTCCTGTAGAATAAACTCATAAATAAATGGATTGAATCTAAGGAATCATTTTCTTTCTCCAGTTAAGAACCCTTAGGGTTCCTAAACAGAGGAGGTAGATAATGTTCGTGTTGCTTTTTGAGCTTGGTTATTCTCCTTAGCTGATTGTAGTGTTCTAGTTACTGTGACCAGGAGGAAAGAGGAAAGTCAGGTGTGTTTGCCTTTAGGATTTTTCTGAGTGTTTGGTTAACCTAGTCACATGCTCTTCTTGTCCCAGTTGTCTTCCCTGATGGATGGGTGTGGGCTCTGAAGGGAAGCTACAACTTGGAGAATAATTTTGGTCATTTTAGGTTTTCCTGGGAGGTTTAGGTGGGAAGGGGTTAGAATAGTTAAAAGATTGTAATCAAATATTGGTGTGGCCAGAGGAAGCCCAGAGGAGGAGGGAGAGGGGAAGGGGTTCTCAATGTAACCTACTTGTTAACACCTGTCACAGGGTTCCCCCTCCAGCAAGCGGAGAAGCCCTTTGCTGCAACCAATTATCGAGGGTGAAACTGCTTCCTTCTTCAAGGAGATAAAGGTGAAGACCTCAGCTGCTAACCCATAGCGAAACTCGCATCTCCCATCCTGTGGGAAAAGGCTGTGATTGTACCCTTGGGTGATGGCTTCTTGTAGTGTGCCCTACAAACCAATAGCTGCCCATAACCAACTTTAAACACTCCCCTTCTACTTAGATCATAGACTAGCTGATTTCCTTAGTCTCATTTCGTTCTCCGCTCTTTTTTTGCTCTTTAGTTTTTACTTTGCTTTCAGAACTCATTTTTTTTTCCAGAATCTTTTTTATTCTTTGTTTTTCCCAGCTGGGGAATGGCTTTTCTGTATTCCAAAAATCTTAAATTAGTTCATTAGACTAACTTTTTAAAAAATTCACATACCAAGTGTATTTTAAAAAGCAATTAGAAACGTATAATGCAATGAAAAGTTATACTTTTATAGCTGAATACCAAGTTGTCTTTGACAGATTTGCTGGTGGTTTCACCCACTTTTCCTTCCCCCACCATATTTATTCCTCAGGACCAGTGTTATCATCAGTGCTTCATCTGTGGATGTGGTGCTGTGACTGGCAGTCACTAGAACTGGCAGTCACTAGTCACTTGGTTTTTTTCCAGTAGTAATTATGAATTTTATACAGATAATCCCTGTCATCCATGGCTGCCTTCACTAGAAGAGGCGGTGCCTTCTGTGCCTGTGGGACCCTAATTGGTCGTACTAGGATCAGCCTCTTGGTGTGTTTGTTTCTAGACAACTGAACATTTAAAATGGACTGCCTAATATGGGACTCTAGAGATGAAAATTAAAGGCATTTTTTTAAAAATCATGACTGTTTTTTGAAGTTGTTTAGGTTTGAAGAGGGAGTGAAACTCAAAATTAGTGAGTTTTAAGTTTCACCTGTCATATTCTGTGACACGTCCATTTGTTTAGTGTAGTTAGGGATGACTTTTCAGAATAATCTTTCCTACTGAGGGACAGAAATTGAAAACTTCATTTTCTTGCCTAAGGTAAGGTGTCACAAGCTACAAAGTCAGCTTTTATCTACTTGATTCCTTTTCTTACATCTTAGAGATCTAAAATTCTTGATATGTCTAATTTAAGGTATTCACCAATGACTGTGCTTACTGTTCATATTATCAAGCAGAACTTATGAATATGCTCTAAATGCTATTGAGAAATCTGGGCCAGTGTGCTACATTGTGTCTTTAAAAATAGGGCTATTTTCTTACAATATGCCTTGATGTTGATAAAAGATGATACATTATGTCTAGCAGGTAATTTTGCATAATTGAAGAAATTTGTGCAATTGTGTGTATGAAAATTAACTTGTTTCTCTTGGCATGTAGTGAAATTGCTACTGGAGGAAAATGTGTTTTTGAATACATCCAAAATATGGCATTCGATAATTGCCTCATTAAATGAATGGAAGATAGCCTAATGATACTCTTCTTTTAAAAGGATATTATTCCCATTCTTATTCTTAGGCTTAATATTTTTTCACAAAAATAGCTCGGCCATGGATTATTATCTCTGACCCACATCATGGTCAAAAGTTTTAGATAATTTTCCAATGACTCTGATGCTTTTGTAAACAGTGCTGCCTTTTGGTTTGTGTTGTTCCTATTAGCTAGGCTTATTCACATGTATTTTGACTGCACTGATTCTTGTTATTTCTGATACAATTTAGAATTTGATGTGTTGCAAATAAGTTTGTATCTAATGGTTTCTTTAAACCTATCCCTGGTTTAATTGCTTATAGGAGAGAATCAGCTGTGTAAGAAACAGAGCTCAAATTCTGAAGCCCTGGATATTCCAGCCCAAAGAAACCTAGTCAGTTCTCTACCTTCTGCAGGGATCTCCTCTAAAACTTCCTTAGTAGAATAGAAACACTGCCCCTGCAGAGGGATCCCATCATCAAGCTCAAAACACAGAGATGGGGAGGGTGCGGTGGCTCCTAATAGCTAAAAATGTAGTTTTTTAAATATTTTTAAAATTATAAAGCATAACTTAATTATATGTGCAATTTAAATATCACAATGAGGGCTGGGGATATGGCTCAGTAAGTAGAGTGTTTGCCTCGCAGGCACAAGGCCCTGGGTTCAATCCCCAACACCAAAAAAAAAAAAAAAAAATTTAAAAAAAGGTAAATATCACATCTAAAATTATCACATTTATAGTTACTATTAGCTTATTACATTCTATGTAGTGGGCTTGGTTTTGCCCTCTGGGGCAACATGGACTACACAGGCAGCTTCTTCCCTAAGAGCTCTTCATACTTTTATAGTCACCCATGCCACACCCTGGGAAATCTTTTTTCCAAGTTTTCCTACTGTTCTGATGTAATATGGGTTCCAGATTTTTCAGCAGTCTCCTGGCTCTGCTATCTCCACACACACACACATATTTATCTACATCCCTATCTACATCTAAACTGGTACCCAAATTAGATGTTTTTCCAGGTACAGTTTAGCTGGGACAGGCCTTAATCTGGATGGCCAACGTCCTTTTAGTTCTCCAAGTCCTTGTCTATGTATTCATCAACATATTGTTAGTTCATTTTAGTCCTCACAGGGCAAGGTGACAGCCTTGCACCACTGACAACGAGGCAAGGCTGGGGTGCTGTCCTGAGTTTTGTAGAATGTTCCCAGCGTCTCTGGCCTCTGACCACCAGATGCCAATCATGTATCACAACCCCCTCTCCTGTTGTGACAACCCAAACTGTCTCCAGGCATGGCCACGTGTCTCCTAGGGGACGAAATCACCCTGCGAGAACCCCGGTGCGCCTCCTGTTGAGTTACACTGTGCCGCACTTGTGCAGTCCCCAGTGTCCTTCCCTGTCCAGTGCTTGCTTCTGTGAACCCAGCTCTCTTTCCTCACCTAATTATAGGACCTTAAGCTTTCCCAGTTACTTTTTATACTTCTATTCCAGCCTTATGAGATAGATTAAATCAAGATTCATACATTGGGGGAATATGCCTGTTATGTCTTTGTCCAAGTGACTGATGGTGACTGAGGCAGGGTCAGGTAAAGAGCTGCTGTGGACTTCCCTCCAAGTCGTCTCACCACTGCATCGTCCCTGGGCTGAAATTTGTGCAGCCAGCTTTTTTGTTTTGTTTTTCATTTTGTTTTGTTTTGTTGGTAGATTGAACTCGGGATACTTTACCACTAAACTATATCCCCAGTCTTTTTTGTTTTTTGTTTTGAGACAGGGTCTCACTAAATTGCTAAGGCCTTGAATTTGTGATCCTCCTGCCTCACCCTCCCAAGTCCCTGGGATTACAGGAGGATGGCAGCTGGCCCCCACCTCCACCCCACTAGCTTTCCTTCCACAAGGTCTGTTCAACTCTTTATTGAAATCACAACATTATACCAGTCCTGTTTAAAAAAAAAAAAAAGGAAAAAATGTCTAGTTTTCATCTTCTTTTTCTTTTCTTTCTTTCTTTCTTTTTTCTTCTTTTTTTTTTTTTTTTTTTTTTTTTTTTTTTTTTTTTTTTTTTTTTTTGTGTGTGTGTGTGTGTTTGTGCTGGAGATGTCCCAAGGCCTGGCACATGCTAGGCATGCGCTCTCCCACTGAGCCTACATCACCCACCAACTCCTGATATGTTTTTAAGCCACCAGTGCTAGTGAGTTGATCACGGACTCTTCCCCAGCTGCTCATATCTTATCTTTTACAATCTACCCGGTATCTATCATTTATGATTTTGCTTGACTATCTATTTTGTTATTATTCACATATTTTCAAAGGTTACTACCAAGAGTAGCATATCTGTGCCTCATTGGGTACCTGACATATGTTATCTCAATTCATTTTATTTTCCATACTACTTAGGGTTGAACCCAAGGCCTCTAGCATACTGGTCAAGTGCTCTTCACTGAGCTATACTCCCAGCCCTTTTTATTTTGAGTCCGGGTCTTGCCAAGGCTGGCCTCCAACTTGCAATCTGCTTCATCCCCCTGTACAGCTGGGCTTATTGGCATGCATCACACATCTGGCTACATTATCTCAATTCTTATAAAAATTACACAGATGACAATTATTTTAGAAAAAAAAAAAAAAGAACTTGCCAGGCGTGGTGATACATGCTTGTAATCTCAGTGACTTGGGAGGCTGAGGCAAGAAGATTTCAAGTTCAAAATCAGCAACTTAGTGAGGCCCTAAGCAACTTGGCAAGAACCTATCTCAAAATAAAAAGCAAAAAGGCTGGTAATGTGGCTCAGTGGTTTTAATCCCCAATACCAAAAAGAGAAAAAAAGAAAATTCATTTAAAAGTCAGATATTTGTAAAATTTTAAATGTTTAACAATTTAAATTTTAAAATGTAGCATTCACTCCTATGAAGCAAAGGGACTGCAGATCCGAAGGCACAGCTGAGACCAACTGGAAAAGCCTTCTCAGTTTTGCCAGTTTTGCCTCTATACCTTCACTACAGTATGTTTAATATGATAGGTACTGAAGAAACTACATGAAATCTGAATTATTAGATGATTTTTAAATGATACTCATAGTGAAAGCATGCCCAAAAATGTGACCAGATTTTTATTGGGGTTGCTGTGTGTCTCCAGGAAGAAGAGGAGGGGTCAGAAGACGATAGCAACACGAAGCCTGACTTCACAGTCACTCTCAAAACAGATTTCAGTGCACGTTGTTTTCTGGACCAATTCGAAGATGATGCCGATGGGTTTATTTCCCCAATGGATGATAAAATACCATCAAAATGCAGCCAGGACACAGGGCTTTCAAATCTGCACGCTGCGTCAATGTATGTCGTTTTGAGGGTGGTATTGAAATAGGTCAGAGAAAATAACTTTCATAAATATTATCTTAGCCTTTGTATTTAAATAAATTGACAAAACACAAGTGGTTAACTTGGGATGCCCCTGGGTAGAGAAAACAGTGACCGACTTAAAAAAATCCTGTCTCAGTTTCCTTTTATGCTTTCTCCAATAGTTATTTGAGGGAGCTTTTGAGCTCTTGCTTAAATAACCAGAATGTCTCTCTAAATGGCATTGTGTGGTGTGGTTCTACTATAGCTTTAACACACTCTGGGCACAGATGGCATCTCTTTCTCGCAAAGAAAAACATGACAAAGTGCTGTGGGATCTCATGAGGCCCAAGAATGCATAACTAGCAGGAACCCCCAGTTGATGCCTGTATTGTTGGCATGTTCGGGCTTTCAAGGGAGAAAAAAAACACCCATTTCTGCTGCCCCTCGGTGCATTTAGTGCTCACAACAATTTAATTTACTTGCTTCCTTCTGTCTCCATAACCCCTGTCAAGTTACATTTATAACAACTCAGATTTAATTTCCTGACTTTTTTTTTTTCTTCCTTTTAGACCTGAACTCTTGGAACACCTTCAGGAAATGAGAGAAGAAAAGAAAAAAATTCGAAAGAAACTTCGTGATTTTGAAGACAATTTCTTCAGACAAAATGGAAGGTAGGGCATGTGTCCCTTCTGTCCCCACCTCCTCTCTACACACAACTAGCACCTTGTTCCTGACAGATCTGTGGAATGCCTCCAGGATGGGGGCAGTTCTGCGTCCTCCCTAAAACCTGGTGCTTGGGTCTGTGCCCAGGTACCCTTAGAGGTTGACAGTGAGAAGGGGAGATTTATATGCCCCTTCAAGAAGAAACGCTCCTGAGCAATGTCCTTGACTGATGCAGATTCAGCTAACATGCATAAAACTAATCTGTCACATCAAATTTTCATCTAAAACAAGCGATCTAGAGCTGAATTTCAAGTTGAGAGCACTGAGGGTTTTTTTCCTTCCTTAAAGAAATAAGGAAAAGGGAACTTTCAATCATCACTGATTTTTTTTTTTTAATATTTATTTTTTAGTTATAGGTGGACACATATCTTTATTTTATTTTTATATGGTGCTGAGGATCAAACCCAGTGCATCCCACATGGTAGGCGAGCGCTCTACCTTGGAGCCACAACCCCAGCTCCATCACTGATCTTAAAGCTCTTTAAAAACTCAGATTGGGCTAGAGGTGTAGCTCAATGGTAGAATGCTTGCCTAGCATGCCTGAGGCCCTGGGTTCAATCCCCAGTACCATGAAAAAAAAAAAAATGATAGTTCCCAGTTTGAAAAATATACACGAGAAGAATATATATAAAATAAGTCCACCTGGTTGAGAATTGTTTTTTATCCCAGTGAGTTTTAAGGCACAGTCATCTGTATACATTGGAGTTAGATTTAATCATTTTAAGTTGGTTTTATATCAGTCCAAGTTATTTCAACTCTGAATACAGTTTCAGTATTTGAGAACTCTTTATGTGTCCTGAAGTTTGGGGAAATGGTTTTTTTTCAAATATTATGCCAATTTACTTTTAAGATCTCTGATTTGGATCTGCCCTATGCTGACTTTCTCAAAACTTTTACATTTTTAATACCTGAACATTTTCTTTTTATTCTCCACATAGTACAGGATATTTAGAGAATATAGATGAGCAGATAAAAAATAGTCCCCAAATACCTAAAGACAAATCAAGATTAATATTTTGCCGGGTACAGTGGTGCACACCTGTTAATTGCAGAGGCTTAGGAGGCTGAGGCAGGAGGGTTGCAAGTTGAAAGCCAATTTCAGTAACTTAGCAAGGCCCTGTCTCAAAATTTTAAAAAATCAAAAGGGCTGGGGATGTAGCTCATGGTTAAGCTCCTCTAGTTTCAATCCTTGATATCAAAACAAAAAAAGAGTAATATTTTGATGTGTTTCCCCAATCCATCTTCTTTCTAAGCATGTTTGGATTATCTATGTATCCTTCATTGCTCTTATTGTCACATATTATGGACAGTTTCTTATACGTGAGGAACTGTTATGTAACATGTACAACTTTTTAAAAAATACAAATGATAGCCAAGCATGGTGGAGCATGTCTGTAATCCCAGCAGCTTGGGTGGCTGAGGCAAGAGGATCACAAGTTCAAAGCCAGCCTCAGCAACAGCAAGGTACTAAGCAAGTCAGTGAGACCCTGTCTCTAAATAAAATACAAAATAGGGCTGGGGATGTGGCTCAGTGGTCAAGTGCTCCTGAGTTCAATCCCAAGTACAAAAAAAAAAAAAAGTAGAATTATGAGAGATTTACACTATCATAAGATCTGGCTCCATTTCCTATCTGATAGAGTGATAGCCCTCACAGGGCAAAGGGGGAATGGGTGCCAGAGGTTCAGAATCCTAAGGCGCCTGTTCCCTGCTGAGGGGCCATCTAGAACTCTTTCCTAGAGCAAAGCAGAACATGAATAAAATCTGTTTAGTTTTAGTTCACTAAACAAATAAAGACTCATGCTATCCCCCTTGCCCACACTTGCTCTTTAATAGTAAGAAAGGGAAGCCCAGGGTTTGAACCTTTAGAGGGGGCATTTCACAGTACAATGAGAATCGGCTTCACACGGTACCAGGGTGGAGAGCAGTTGCTTTGTAGGGAGTCTGACAGGTGCTCCTGGTTTCACCATGTGTGGACTATGGACCACAGCACCTTCACAGCAGGTTGTTGCAAGGGCGATGTCAGATCATGGATACACAGAACTAGTACTGCACTTGACCCAACTGAGACTTGCGTATATAAAAAAAATCTGCATATAAAATTAGTAAACTATAAAGGTTTATTAATGTTACGTGATCCAGTTGCTGAATTCCCAGGATCATTTTTATAAGCAAGAGAATTAATTCTCTGTTCTTGAAACAACTGTATGTTGTGGGTGTACAAATTGCTGATTAGAAACTTAATGGCTTATTAGATGAAATATATAAAAATGAGAAAATATTAAGTATGTATAAAGGATTTCAGTTAATAGGAACTCACTGTGAAATCATACGTAAGAGCCGAGCAAGACTTTCTATATTTCTTAGTCCTTCATAGCATTCTACAAAATGCCAGATTAACTGTAAAAGCTCAGTTGCACGGTGCCTTCAGGGGAAAACCATTCTTCACTGCTTATGTAAATCCAGCCTTGGCTAGGTACCAAGTGCCACTTGACAACAGTGATTCCACAGGTTGATAAACTGTAGAGTTATCACATAATGATAATTTGCCTCGGCCCCCCTTTCCTTTGTTTCCACTAGAAACGTCCAGAAGGAAGACCGCACTCCTATGGCCGAAGAATACAACGAGTACAAACACATAAAGGCGAAACTAAGACTCCTGGAGGTGCTCATCAGCAAGAGAGACACTGATTCCAAGTCCATGTAAGGGGCACCCCAGCCCAGCAAGGGGTTCCTGCGGATGCAAGGAGGACTTACTGTTCTCCTGGTACAGAGCAGCTCTAGAAGGCAGCCTGGGAGCTGGACCTCCAAAGCCTGACACCCTTCTGCTGCCAGGCCTTTTGGGTGGGCTCCTGTTTCCGCTGCCTGCCTCAGAAACTGCCTACATGGGAGATGACAATGTGACCTGACTTAGGAATTTTGTAATAAGAAGTCAAGATTCCTGCACACTTACACACTTGTGGTGGGAACTTCACTAACACTAACAGTGATGAATCACTACATTAGCCACACCTATCTACAGAGATTATACACTGTTTTTCCCTGGACAACTGAGAAACCAGAGAGAACATTCTCTAACTGTGATAAAAACAAGCTCAGGACTTTACTCTGTAGAGTGAATTTGCTGTGGAGGTCCAGGCCCTCTCCGGACCCAGTCAAGTGTGACCATGCATTGGAGCCCTATTTGCTGCCTTGGCCATTCTAGTGACCTTCCCACAGAGCTGCGCCTTCCCCACGTGTGAATTGATTTTCTCTCCAACTCTCAGATGGAAGCTGCATCTGCCCACAGTGGCAGAGCAGTCATCCGTGTGAGGGTGCGTTTCTTCAGGACTTCCTCAGCTGACAGATCCAATCCCTGACTAGGACTTAATCATCTTCAGAGGACAGAGGGATTGTAGCAGCAGCCATATTAATACTGATTTTTAAATCAGGTAACAGGTGAAGAGCCTGGAGATTGTTTCTTGAACACTGACTGCACTTACCAGTCTGGTTTTAATATTAAACACTAAGCGAGGCCGGCATGCCTATGTAACCTGCCGAGGGCTTGATTTTGTTGTGGTTCTAGCCAAACTTAAAGGGCCTTGCTTAATTCTTAGCCTAAGTGTAGAGGATCATGTGAGAGAGGGAGCCTGAGCCATCAGCCTCCTGAATACCTACCAGAGTTTAATTTTTCTAAAAAGGTAAATCTGCACTAAAATCCCCAGACGGGTAAATGTAGCCCTCAGAGCTCAGCTCAAGGCAGAATCTAGCTCACACTACTTTCAAGAGCATATATAGTAGAAAAAAATGGCATATAGCCAATTTTGATTGTAATTTCTTCAAAGACTGTGTCACAAAGCTGTCTATATTAGATGTTTTGGAGGGACCAGGGAATTTAAGACACCAAATCATTCATCTCTTCGTTGTGCTTGATGTCACGCTGTGATTTGTTTTTCTTTTTCACCTTCTGTGTCTGCCCTGAGGAAGAGGGTTTGGGGTCCACCCTTGTGCTTTGTGAGGCAGAGCCCTGGTGTCTGCTTGCCCACCGGGCTGAAGTGCTATCTCAGGCTCCACCTCCTGAAGATAATATTGCAGGGTGGACTCCCCCTGTTCTGAGAGTTGCTTTCTTAAAGGTTGCAGTTTTGTTTTCTAAAAAGGAAAAGGATAGAATGTAAAGCCGCACCAACCAGTTGTCAATTGTAATAATGGGTCTTAAACACCTGGTGGCGGATTTACTTCTCCATTGTTGAAATGAGATAGCAGCTCTCCTCTGTTCAAGTGGGGGGGTCGGGAGAAAGGAATGCCTTTAAGTTTTTCTTAATCATATAGAAGCATGAGCTATGTGTTGGAAGTGCCCTCATTTTAATCCACACATTTAAAGATGGTACATAATCCTACAAATCTAAATGTACATGAAAATATAGTTTGATATTCTTTGCTCTACTGTTTACATTACAGATTGTTATAATTTCAAGGAGTTATATTATAAATAAAATGATGCACTTTAGGATGTTTTCTATTTTTGAAATCTGAACATGAATCATTCACTTGACCAAAAATTGTATTTTTAAAAAGAAATACATGTCTAGTCTGTCCTTTTTAACTGTTCTCTTAAATAAGCTATGATATAAATCAAATTATCAGTTCACTTTTGAAGCACATCTAAGAGTATTGTTTTGAAAAAATATCCTATAGAATTTTTAAACTCCATGTAAGTGAGAAGCTAGTAGGTTTTTGAAATCTGTTCTTTCTGCCAAAGGTAAATTAACTAAAAGATTTATTCAGGAATCCCCATTCAAATTTGTATGATTCAATAAAAGAAAACACCAACTTATAGTAAATTGTGTATGGAATATTGTGTTTTCCTTTGTAGTTTCTAATCTATATTCTTCAGAGAAAAAAGCCAAATTAAGTTGGGGGTGGAGAGCTATGTGTACACCAGATCCTTTTTGAAGGCGTATGAGTCAGTGATTTCTGACTCTGCCAGAAACGCAGAGGCAAATCTGTTTCCATGACAACCATTGCTGCAGCCTAGCATCTCTAAGCACTAGAGACTGTGGCTTAATTGGCTTCAAACGACAGAATGCGGCAGACCGGTGTTTTTCCTTTGCTCTCTTGGGAATGTGTATGTTTATTAGTACATGCCAACAAAATAAATGTCAAGGGTTATTTAATAACAAGTAAAGATAAAGCCTGAATAAGCTTGATTATATGATCATAAGAATTAGAGATAGCAAAGGCTTGTAATTTTCATAAGCACTTGCTGTTGTGTTCAGTCTAGGGTAAATATTGAAATACATGTTTATATAAGTATGGTATCATTACTGCATTTCATCTTTGAAAAATTTGGTTTAGATTTCACTTTCTAAGACATGAAGGTGCAATGTTTAGGATAACGACCAGCTTAAAAGTGCTTAAGATAGTAGACGTTTGTCCTTTGCTGCTAGAACAAAGTTGGCACAATCCTGGTGATCTTCCCAACTCAGGGGAAGTTTCCATGAAAGACCAAATCCAATTTCAAACTTGAGACTGGACTAATTTTTTTTAATTAACTAATTGTTAGAGTGCAGTGTGAGCTACTAGATGAAATTTCTTCCCTGTGATTGCCAGTTTAAAGTCAAAAGATTTTTTTCAGCAGAGTAACACATCACCAAGGTTTTAGTTTTGTCTCATTCTGATGCAACACTTGCTGGGGGAAGAGCCTCTTGCAGGGTGTGTCTGCTCCCAGGTGCGACATTTCTAGCCCAGGAAAAATGCCTCTGGGCTGTGCCTGTCATAAACACTACACTGCAGCAGCAGTCTTGGAGCCCGGAAGGGCTGAGCATTTGTGAATGTGGCTGAGCTTGGAATTCCTTACCAGGTAAATACTTGGGCTTGGTATCAGAATAAAGGAATGGCTGTGATACAACCAATTAAGTCTAGCCAGTCTGGGGGTTGCCTAGTTTTCAACAGTGAGAACTAGACCTGGTAACCAGAACCAATCACAGATTTGTAAGAAAAATCACATTTTAAAGTTTGTCCTTTTTTTAAAAGATATCTTTAAATCTGAGAATGAAGATACCACTTTTCTGCTTTTGATGGCGTATTTATTGTTGAACACCATTAACTGCTTGGTGAAAAACTGGTTGTCATCTAAATTCTGTTTTGCTTTCCCGGCACGCTGCTTCCTGGATTCTTCTCCCTCAAGTGGGAAGAAGTGCTTTCTGCGCCAAGATCAATGCCTTTGGGATGTTCTTTTTTAGCATCCACTTGATTAAAGCAGTGGAAGGGACAAAACTATCCTAAATGTTAAGTGGCATTTCCTCTAAAGCCCACATTTAAAGGGACCCGGAATGTGCTTTTCTCTCCTTCGTTCATTTTTATCTTGTTGCCTACTTGACCCTCAAAATGTACTAAAGAGCATTATTTGCCAAACTGGCTGAACATTTTTTCAAATTTTTATAGATTCACATTGTGCACACTGCCGCTGTCACAAATGGTGGCCACTATGGCAGGCTCCAAGCAGGAGTGATAGATACATACCAGTCAGGCAGCAGCACCAGCCACTTGCCCAAACAGACTGTGCCCCATCTGGCATCTGCACTTGTCTCCCAAGAGCTTCTTAGTAGATGCGTGTATATAGACCAAGAAACGAAAGAAGTACAGATGTGACAAAAATGTATGTGAAAAGGAGGTCTATGTACACTTACAACTTCATAGTATTACAAAGTTGCAGTTATATCTTTTAGAGAATCTCATTTTACCTGGAATGGAGCCAGTCATGGTTACCTGTGTAGCTAGAGAAATCAGTTCCATGGCAGATCTAATTCACCTGAAAATACCTACACAGTTATGAATATGAATATGGTCAAGAATGAGTAAAATTTTCCCAATATGGGCCCAGAACAATGTTTACATGACATGTAAGCAGAAAGAATTTGAAATTACCAATGTCCTTTTTAAAATGTAAATTGAATGAAAAATATTATGTACATTTTTGTACATGACTTTTGTATAAGCTTAAAAAAATAAAATATTTTTAACTGGAAGTTCTAAAATGTGTGAGAGTGTCAGGGATGTATGACTGAATTGCCTGTGGGGGTCTGATTGTTCCCTTCTTTAAGGAATCCAACTCTGGCTCCCTGGAGCCCCTCAGAAGACTCATAAGGATTGAGTTTTTGTTCTGCCTCCAGGGAAGAAGGGCACTGGAAGGTGAAGCAAACTGGTACATGTTAGGTGTGTCCATGTTGTAGCTAGAAAAACATATTGTGTTCTATGCTCAGCTGCCTTTAAATTAATTCATAAAAGTGGCAGGAAGTGCTTGGGGAGGGGGTGTGTAGAAACAAAGGCATTAAAGCAAAATATTTTTTTAAGTACATTTCCAAAGTCTACGAGGCCATCATAGGCAAATACATTTGGTATTTACTATTCTGAAACTTATTATTAATAAGACTACCAGAAAACAGACTTTGGGAAAAAGGAACATTTCAGTTGTGTAAAGTAAGTACCTCACCCTTAATGTTGCCCGTGACAGGCCAGGTGCAGCACTGAGAACCTGCCAGGTACCTGCCAACTTAAGCCTTGAATGGCTGTGAGGTCGGTGCCCCAAGGTAGGTAGGCATGCAGGTGTCCTTTGGACTGCATGTGCTATATATATACAGTGACTTCAAAAAAAAAAAGTCAGGCTTGAAGTAAAGACATTGTCCTAGGATTGGCCCCAAGACCAGTCTGACTTGAGAGTACACGCACAGTGCTGCTAACATAGATGTGATTTGACAAGGTCCTGCTGAAACTGAGGCTGATCCAGAATTGTTTAAATTTTGTAACACTGATCCAAAGTAATAAAATTTGCCACAAGTTACAGGCAGCACTTAGTGATCCTCCATTTCCTTCAATATTTTGATGTTGCCTCTTTTGAGGAACCAGAAAGTTTAAACCCAAGTACATGAAGGTCCTCCAGCCTGTGACAAAGCCACCCTTACCTTTGCACTGGCTTTGCTTCTGGCCCTATACTAGTTTGCAGAACTATGGACGACCTCAATGGGAATTTCAGAATGGTATCTCCGCACAGTTGGGGAGCACAGACTGAAGAAGAGAGGCAAGACCCCCTTCAAGAGTCTCATTATTACCTCTTCTAAAAATGAATTCTGAATATTGTAAGACAATATATATCAGCTATCCCGAAGTTGGGTCAGCTCACTGAGGCTATATATACATAGTAGAATTTCATATTCAGTAAAAGCCAAAAGTAAAATTCATTCCCAAAGGCATTTTTAGAATCCTGGCTGGCAGGCAGACAAATGGGGGTTGGCAGGAACTGGGGTTGTTGACAGCTTGTTTCTCACTTTTCCTCTCCAGCATCAAGGCTTATACCACAAGGGTGGCTCCAAGTTGTACGGCAGCTGCCCATAGGAACTCAGCCCAATGCAAAACAGCAAGGACATCTCTGAGAGCACTCAGATCCCCAACTGGGCCATGTGTATAAAAATTATATGTGAACTGCAAATTCTGACATTCATAATCTTTTAGATGTTTGAATTTAATTTCTCAAAAGCAACCCAAAGATATGCAGAAATCTTTATATTGTTTATCTGGTTCTCCAGCTTTGAGTACTATTTAGTAAGATATTTTGAGATATTATGATTTTTCTGTAACTGTTACTTTTGAAGAACCTAAAATTACTGTACAGGATTAAACAAAGGTAAGGGAAAAGACAGTGAAAGCAGCAGAGAGTAGTGCTTCTTCCATTGAAACATGCATGTGAAGGTGTGGGATCTTGGAGTTGTAGTAGCTCTCTAGGGCTTCACATGAACGCCTCCCTGAGGTGCTGCATTATGTTCAGTCCAAGAACCTCATCTTGAGGAGGATGCGGACTGCATTCTGGGTAACTGTGGAATGAATAGCTCTGCCAATTAATCCAACATAGTGAGTTAACAGAGAGGTAACAGAGACCAGTACACTGGACCACACTCAAGGAGAATAGACCACTGCTGATGCTTGAGGGCCACACTGCAGATGGTCCAGCTGTATAACCTACCCTCCCAAAGTCTGTTTCTTTATGTGAAAAACGGGAATATAATCATAGTACCTACCCAAGAGGGTTATTACAAGAATTTACTTAGATGACTGTAAACTGATAACACAGTAAATCCTCAACAGACAATGGTGCTGGGGTCCTCATTGAGGCAAAGATTCTTATCTTCAAATCCAGCAATGCATTTTGAATCCCTGCAAAAAAGGAACTGTATTTCCCAGTATCATATCCCCCACCATCACCCTCTGATTCCTTGTTTATATAAGTCAGATCAGAATACACCTCCAGCACTTTAAGCACAAATTAGTGCTAATAGGATGAGCCAGATTTCATGGGAACATTAACCAATTATTCTCTCGGGGGAAAAATCATAAATGGTGACTGTTGCTGTTCTCAAGCAAATCACATCAAAAGGCATTGCCTCAGAAGGATTAATGCTTGCTACATTCCTTCTTTCACAGAGGCAGGGCAAACCCCTCTAAGTCTACTTCTCCCCAAAACATTTTGGGAGGTCTAAATCTGCTCAGACATGTATGAAGAATGAACCTTCTGATGGCTGAGGCCAATGTGGGAATGCTTGAGTTCAGGGAAAGGAGAAAGGGGTCAGAATAAACTTTGGATTGACTTCCTGGTCACTTAAATGTCCTGAAATTTCTGCCTTGGGGTATATATTTTTAACAACTAAAAACTAAATGTACCCCTGAGAGGAGAGTTGCTCCAATTTTGGCAAGCTCTAATCAGCATACTAAATCTCATCAAAACCTAAGGTCAAGGCTGGGAAAGTACTTGGGGTCCTCCAGACCCTCCTTAACCTGCAGAAGGAATAAA